ATTTCCTTTTTTAGTGAATTTAACGCGTTACATACGAGACTGATTCTCCATCCATATGTCGCTGTTCTTTTTGTCGATTCGCTTTGACACACGTCGAACACGATTTCGGGAGGAAACTCCGCCATAAGTGACGCCCAGCCGAATTCTTCTCGACAACGCGATTCGATCATTGATTTTTCTATCTCCCCGGCCGGCCGTCCGTCCGTCGCGCGGAACTCGTCGAGATAATTGGCATTCTGTTTCGACGAATCAGAGACTCGTTACGCTTCACACGCCAGCATCACACGAAAAAAGCAAAACGATATTTGTTCACATACGCATATATCCCTCTCCCTGTACTTCGCTATTCGGACATCATGCGCTCGTGATCATTAAACTGAGAACCACGGCATAAATAAATGTTCATTTGAATCGCGATACGCACTGAAGAAAAAAGTCGGTCGTTCAATTTTAGGCCCTGCAAGAATCCGTCCTTTCTGTCGTTTTTCTTCGTCTTCTTCTTCCGTTTCTCTCTGTCTCTCTTTCTCTCTGTCTCTCTCTCTTTGTCTGCCTTATCTTCTTCTCTGTCTCCTTTATTTCTTTCATTCTGTATCACGTTCTCATAAGTACGGACACGTTCGGCATCGCTTATCCTGACAAATATTTGTCGACTGAATGAGCACACCGCTGCGCTTAGGAAGAAATCTTCCGGGATGGGAGGGATGAGGGATGGAGGGAAAATTCGCGTGGGAATAATGCGGCTGTGTTAGAGTTTTCATTGCGAGCGAAACATATCGGAGAGACGTTAACGGCGAGACGAGAGTACAAGGCGCGATGGAAGAGATCGTATAACCCGTTCTCCGTAAAGAGCGCACGAAGAAAGCGCGTTGTGCGTGTGTGCGCATCTCGTTCAGGCGAAATCAAAATTTTAACACGTGATGGCTGCTCATCGGCAAAGGAAACGGAATATACGGACGAATATCCGCCGAGCAAGGCTGATTGGCAGTTATTGGCCCCGAAATCTCGCGGAACCCTCTGTGACCTAAACAAAACTTCGAGACAACGCCTGGCGACGGCGGATCGAAGTTTAAAAACCCCGAGGGGAACTTCCCCGGTGTGATCGAAGAAATTAGTAGAGCAAATTTGTACGAAGACGTGATGTGAAAACTTTTAACTTTAATTGAATTCTCCCGTCGGTTACCCTTCTTATCCTATTCATCCAGCAATAATGTATCGTATTATATGGATCGCTTTCCCGCGATCCATCTGACACTGATAAATGTTACGACCATCAAATTAATTATACAATTGCATTTATCGTATAATAATATAAAAGAGAGAGCGAGAGAGATAAACTTTAATAGCGACTGATAAATGTTGCGCCGCTCTCTTTTCTCGGATATGAGCGTGTTAAAGATAGATAAAAGTCACGGCAATAATGATAACGGTCCATAGAGGGTTCGCGAGCGTTATTTTCGCGACACATCCCACTATCCCATTGCCATCAGGACAATTGTCGGAACAACAGCGACGATATATATAATACTTTCTTACTCCGCGTAAAACGATCCGCGTTTCGCAAGAGGGATCGAGATAGACTCGACTCGACCAATTAGCCTTTCGTCGCCTCGCGATAATCGAGTTGTGCCTCTCTACCCGTGTAAGTGCGTCTGTGCATTCCAGACACGTTTAAAACGTCTCCCGTGCGATTTCCCAAGGGGGAGAGAGGCGGGATGGAAAGGGGGCGGGAGGGACAGTAACAAATCGCCGTTTCCGCGTTAATTACGAACGACGCGGGAGAAAAAGGAGCACTCGTTTCGTCGAGCGGCCGGCTTAAACGGCAAACATATCGTCCTGGCGCGTAACTCGAGAATTTCCGCCCGTGAGATGGATAGAGAGATAGCGACTGTCGTTCGTTAAAGGTAAGAGCCAGGGAAAAATTACGAGCCAGCTGTTACGCGCGCAACAGCTTCCGGTGCAACGTAGCCAGGGATAATATCGGAGGCTGTCCTTTTTTATCTTGTGCCGGGGATCGTTCGTAAATTTCGAGGGCTGCATTGCGGTTACCCTCCCCCTTTTTTCTTCCTTTTTTTCAAAATATAGAACACCGATGATTTTTTGGATGCTTTGCATTTGTCATTGTCTGTATATAGCATAAAATTGAGATATTTGACTGTGCGTGCTAGATCTTATACAGGATTATGTATGAAACCCTTCCGACCGTGTTGTCGCTGTTATTGATATTATATAATTTTATCGTCGTATAGGTGCACTCGATGATACCGAGACCTCGGTTTACTCCACGTACGATGACGTAATAAAAGTATTATTTAAAAAAAAAAGTTTAAATAGGTTGCAAAAGAATATATACGAATTTTCTCATAGTGATCGCGCATGTTTATTCCGTTTGTTTCGCGCGATTTGTGATTCGAGCTATTGGCTTTAGCGGCTTAGGTCTCCACGAAGATGATGTTCACCGCAAGAACATTGCGACGATTCACTCGCAATTTCTATCCTCCACTTTGTTCAAATCGAGCGTGAAAAAAAAAGGCAATTTCTTCTGTCGGTGTCGAGTAGAGTTTTGTACACAAAGTGCATGTATTCGAAAGAACAACTCGGTTTTCCCGTTTTCCGAGATATTCCGACGACGCACGATAGACGAATCTCCGTAACGTCGTTTATATATAATGCGCACAAGATATATTTTTCATAACGGATATACAAAAGCGACAATCGCTTTTATCTCGAGAGAAATGCGAAAATCGCGAGCGCATGTCGCAATCGCGGTGATATTGCACACGATACCTGTCCCGAGAAAAGCTCGTCGTGTTACACGGGAAGGATAAGTACCTTGAAGTACAAACGGGCATCCACGCAAACGTGTTTAGCGTTTATTTTATATTTCTCTGTGAGTGATGTATTACTGGAAAGAAAAGAAAAATGACGCGTAGTACAAAAATTAAAAAAATAAATTTAAATATAAAAAAAGCACGAACGAAAGCTCGAAAAGAGGGTGATCGGTGAATCCTCGTTTGGCGGCATGTTCCTCAATTTTTTCAGAAACTTTCCGCCGATATTAGATGCGTGCGAATACGGCCGAGTCGCTAAAAAGTTAACGACGGAACAAAACCACGTGCTATCGGACACGAGTTAGAAGTGGAGGAGCGGAGAGAAGAGCGAAACACACACGAGTGTGAAGCTCTCGCACACTTTAAAGTGAAAACTAATACCGCAAGCCGACAGGATAAAGAAGTTAGGAAAAAAAAGAGAGAAGGGCCAACGGAATGTTTTTCACGTTTAAAAAAAAAAAGAACCACCGTAGAGCGAAACTGCACTGCACCGAGCGCGCGGAAGATAGGACGGAGAAATTGGCGGTCGGTAGGTCGAAGGAAACAAGGAGGAAGGAAGAAAAGATAAAAAGACAAAAAAAAAGAGGAAAGGAAAAAGAAACACTCTATTTGCGAAAGCATTCCCTTTTACCCCCCCCCTTCTGAAATAGGAAACAGGGCACAGGACTTCGCACGCCGCCCCGCAGGAACCGCAGGCGAGCTGATGAACACGAGAACACCGTGAGCGAAACTGCATGCGTTCTCTCTTTTACCGCTAACAGATTGCGCAATAGTGCCCGAGACATTTCTGGCATTTGATCTGATTACATCTGGTAGGTCCTCGGTGTACGCTTTTGCATGGCCCTTGACCTGCCCCCTCCGCCCCCCTACCCACGCCTCAATCTCCTTGGCTGCGCCGCAGTGTTATTCGGAGCATTTGACGACAGATCGGCTATTCATGTCCTGTCGATGCTTGTACGTCCTCGAGTCGCATGATCGCTTCACCGCCCGGAAAAGCGTCCCCGGAGATGCGTTTCAATAATTCATCCAATCAGGATTTTTCGCCTTCCCGGGACGCTTTTCCCACCCCGCTGCCGATATATAACATCTCCGGTTTTCTGTTCCATATTTCTCGACACACACATTACCAGGTGACAGATAGTTCGTCACGGATTGACGCGTTGCCTCAGGTGCAACTCGATGAAATGACGTCCTTCCACCTAGATGCGTCAGTTCGATCCGTGACGAGTTAACTTATCGACGTGCGCGATTACGCCAAGGGAGATTAATATCGCAGATGTTGATCAACGGTCACGAATGTCACTGATCTCGTTAATCTTTGGATTAAAATTACGCAATCTTCTTAAAAAATTAATGTATTAATTTTTAAATTTTTATATCTCGCCGCAATCTATTCATTCGTGCGACATGACCCAGATTCAGTAATTGTTGTTTGAAAAACGTTAAAAGAAAAATGCAACTGTGTCAATTGCCAGAACGATATCAGAATGTTCGACCTACGAGAATACAAGCTCTTTAATATAAAATTACAATCCATATCTGTGCATCAACGATATTTTGCTTTTTTTTTACGGTAAGAATATCGACGATCAGTTTGGCGTTGCACCTCCCAGAGTGGCGACAATATTATAGATAGAAAGAAATTCTCTTTGTTACGAGACGTGTGAATAATCGCTTTTTTATAGATGCGAGATTTTTATCGAGTATATATATATATAGAGAGAGGAGGAAAAAAGATTACGTGATACAAAATAAATTCTTTTATTCAAGTTTCTTTGTGTTTTTTATTAGATTCCGTCGCGCTGAAATATTATCGCAGATACCGGAACTCGTTCCCGAGAATAGTAATTACTGAATTAAAAATGCAATTGCAATTATAATTACAACTCCTCGTTAAATGCAAAGCTATCATTTACGCGAAGAGAAGCTATTTTCTTCATTCTTCACAAAGACTATACATCGCCATTATGAGATATCTGATTCGAGATGGATTTTAGCTTCTGTTTTTCTTTTATTTCGTTATATACGCACGTTCTTCTTTGCGTTTCTTCCGAAACTTTATTAATTAGAGGGACTGTCGTTCACTGAGAAGAGAAAGGAATAACTCGTTACATTACTCGCCGCCGTAACGCGCGACGCTGTTTAATCGCAATTTATTCTTCTTCTCTCCAGGAATACTCCGTACAATTAACATTTCGGGAACAATGGTTGGATGAGAGATTACGGTTTAATGACTTTGGAGGTACGTAAAAGTTCACAAATAACATTTTATACATGTTTTCAGTTTGTATTTCCACGCTCTCTCTTTGGTATCGATGTTTCGACGCCGATAAAAGTCACGATGCGATAAAATAGGAACAACAGTAATATAGCGGTCATGCGATGCGTGTAACGGTACCACCGTGTGAATACGAGAATAATAGTTTAAAAAAAAAGGCGGGAATATGTTCTCTGTAGGTTGCGATGGAAAAATAAAAAAATCTGATCAAAAAGCTCATCCTTCCTTTATTTTCGATATAAATGCCAGAGTATCTTTTACGCAATAATATCACACACAATCCGATAACCTGCGGTCAACACGAGAAATTCGGGCGCACAAAGGGCATTTATACGTATATATACATATATGTGTGTATCTTTTTTTTTTTCATATTGCAATTACATCGCGCTGCAAAGGGCGAGTCGTAACATTTTATTCGCGCGCGCGCGCGCCCCGGTCTCGTTACGCAAATTTAATAGCGGCTATTTTTATCTCCCTTTTCGCAAATTACCGCTCTTATCCTTTCTGCTTACTGAATGAACGCTAACGAGCGATACCGTATTCGTTAACGCACGCCGATTTTTCACGGGGGTGGTATCCCCACTGTTCGTTGAACGTTGCAGGTCGACTTAAATATTTAACCCTGACGGAAGCCAGTCGCGTCTGGATGCCGGATCTGTTCTTCTCGAACGAGAAGGAGGGCCACTTCCACAATATCATTATGCCCAACGTATACATACGAATTTTCCCGAATGGCTCGGTTCTTTATAGCATACGGTGAGTATACCGGCGTTATATGAGTATAATAATCGGCGTCCGGCGAACGCGCGGAGTCAGCCTAATCAGCGAGATTGCGCAATTTTTTAACGAAGAATCGTTGAGGTGTCACTTTTTCTTCGTTTTTTTTTCTCGTTAAAATCACGCAATCTCGATATACAGAGGGGGAATACATTATATCCGTCGCGCGCTCGCGTTTCACCCTCGTGATAATCAAACGTCGCGAAATTTCGCTTCGCTATAATGTACACAGCGGAGATCCTATCCTGTGTACCGTGCGGGATGGCCAAACACACGCGCGCGCGTTCGTTACATTGCGAATTGGGTTCTTATTTCCACGGGCATTGTATAAACCATCGCTGTTTTTCTTCTCCCTGGCGCAGGATATCCTTGACGCTCTCGTGTCCCATGAATTTGAAACTGTATCCCCTGGATCGACAAATTTGCTCACTTCGTATGGCCAGTTGTAAGTAGACTCGACGACTCGGAAAACCTCGTTTTCCGCCCTATTTAGCTCGACTTAGCTTCGCTAATAAGTGTGTGTGTATGTGAGTGTGTTATTCGTTAAACGTTAACGGAGATAATCGCTCGTCCAATAATAACCGCACCTTCGTCCACTCCGACAGACGGATGGACGACGAACGATTTGGTCTTTCTCTGGAAGGAAGGCGACCCCGTTCAAGTAGTCAAGAATTTACATCTACCCCGGTTCACCCTCGAGAAATTCCTCACGGACTACTGCAATAGCAAAACGAACACCGGTAAGTGGGAAGACTCTATCGCGTCGAGAAGAAAAACCTGCGCTCGTATAATCTAATGATTCTGACGATGAAATTAAAAAAAAAAAAAAAAAATACACAGGAGAGTACAGTTGCTTGAAAGTGGACCTGCTGTTCAAGAGGGAATTCAGTTACTATCTCATTCAAATCTACATCCCGTGCTGCATGCTCGTTATCGTGTCCTGGGTGTCTTTCTGGCTGGATCAGAGCGCCGTGCCTGCCCGGGTGTCACTAGGTACAAATTATTATCTATAAAGCGCAAAAGAGTGACGTGTCAAGCATATAATTGTTAACTCGGAATAATTATAATTTACTTTATTAACGAAATCTTTGATAGTAACAAATTTGAAATTGCAATATTAGATTATTGTAACGAGGAGAGCGAAATAGGATTATCACGAGATAAAGATTGAAGTAGACTTTTTAAAGCGTGCGCAGTCTACTGCAAATTTGTACGCAGAAGCAAGGAAAATTGATAATACTGTTCATAAAACGAGTAAATCTTCCTGGTAAAATATGTTTTTAAATCTGTCTTGAAAGTAAAATACGAACAACTGCGCGCATTGATTGCTGCGAACTGTCGTTTAAACAGCAGTTTGCAACGTTTAAACGGCAGTAATGTAACGTTTAACGATCCTATAAAGAAAAAGAGGGGAAATTTTGATTACACACGTTTTACGGACGGTCGTTAATTGCGTTTATTGGTTCTTCTTGTTAATTATGAGGACCTATACAAAGTCTTTCTCCCATTCAGGCGTTACGACACTGCTGACGATGGCCACGCAGACATCGGGGATAAACGCCTCACTGCCACCGGTCTCCTACACAAAGGCTATCGACGTCTGGACGGGGGTGTGCTTGACTTTCGTATTCGGCGCACTGCTCGAATTCGCGCTGGTCAACTACGCGTCGCGTAGCGACATGCACAGCGATAACATAAAAAAGCAGTTCCCGCCGAGCGATCAGATGGAACATTCGTCGTCGATCGATCCATCCTCGGAACTGCTCGAGCCGGATGGATCCGCCAACTTTGCCATGGTCAGTGTACCGAGGATATGACATTCCTTGAGCGTTTATCCGTCCACCGGACGCGCGTTTAAGATATTTTCGAGATAGCCACTTTCTTGTTGAATTCTTCCGGAAGCGTTCGAAGAATTGCAATTAGAAATTCCGAGTTTTTGTGTATTAAAAGAAGAGATTTGTCTATAGACGCTTGTTCTAAATGAAACTGAGATTACGGAGATAGTCTTTCATGCAGCAAAAAAGGATTATTCGAAATTCTCTCGATTACGGATCATTGATCAAAATTGTTTGAATTTAAGGAGCACAGAGTTGAGATGCGCGAGAGATTAATGGATCAATACCAACCGAATTCTTTCAGAAGCCTCTAGTCCGACACCCGGAGGATACCATGTCGATGGATAAATTGCAGCAGTGCGAAATACATATGCAACCACGGAAAAAAAACTGCTGCAGGTCGTGGCTGTCCAAGTTCCCGACGAGGTCCAAGCGCATCGACGTCATTTCACGGATCTTCTTCCCAATCGTATTCGCTTTCTTCAACCTAACGTACTGGTCCACGTACCTGTTTCGGGAGGAAGAGGGGGACGAGTAAATCATGAGGAGGAGGCGCTCGGATCAACAAGGGAAGTGGCTCGCGGCCATCCTCAGCAATTCCAACAGACACGACCGCCGCAACAACAACGTTCGCGTCCTCGCCAACGACAACTGTACCATCATCCTCAGAATCATCATCATCATCAACACAATCATCAACATAATCATTTTTATCATCAACAGCGACTGCTGCCTCATCGTACCGGCGGCAATCCGTCGAAGACGCAGCATCATTCGTTGCCGCGTACGTATCAGCAGGACCATCATCAGCAGCAACAGCATCATCACTACCCTCATCAGTTACATCATCGTCATCAGCGTAATCATCCGAATCGTTCGCCGTCGCCGTCTTTCTCGCTGTTGAACGATGAAGATTGCGTCGCCGGCCGGTGCTCGCCGATGAGGGCATCGCGACACCACTCGCGCAGGAGTTCGACGAGGTCGTCGCCGTCGCCATCGCGATGGCCCTCGCCGGCCTCCTCGGCGTCGCCCCTGGGCACGCCGTCGCGCACCATGTCGCGCGCCGCGACGCCCTCGCCGCCGATCGCGGCACCGACGTCCGCGGAATCGACGCTCACGTCGGCGACGGTGCCGTCGCAAACGCGCTGCTGGGAACGCCTGCGGCGGAAATTTTGCACCTGTAATTGCCAAGGCAGCGCGAAGATCGACATCATCTCGCGTATTGGCTTTCCCCTCATGTTTGCTTTCTTCAATATCACGTACTGGTCTACTTATCTGTTTTACGGTGACGAGGGCATAGGAGAGAAGAATTAAAGAGGAGAAAAGCGTATACGGAGCCAGAATCACACGTGTACGAAGCCAAGCCGAGTGCGATCTGTCAAGTCGGAGAAATCCTTGAAGAAACACCGAGGCAAATTTTATACGAGCTCCGATCGTAAGTTAGTACGTTATAACATCAACGATACTGCAAATTAGATCGCGTTTACTCGACGAGGACCGACCAGAAGCACTCCGACAAGAAGATTCCTCCATTGCCCGCGCCCGAAATGGGAATATTCCAGGAAGAGGATCAGTTAAGGCGACAACGAGGATATTAGCGACGTTCGGTAGACATCTCGCGACGGTCCAATTGATGAGGACGATAACATATAATGTCGTGCGTACTATATCTTACACAACGTACACACACATACATACACACATACATACGCATGCATACATGCACATCGTACCTCATGATCCGCTCGGAAGACCGCGTGCCACAGACTGAACTGAAAGCGTAGTGGGCCCTGTATAGCCACGGCCTGTTAACAATTAAAGAGAGAAAAAAAAGCGTAAAGTTTATAAGTATATCTATATCTACGTTGCGCGAGATCGCGCGTCGTCGGACCGCGGACGTGTCCGTCGTTGCGAAATTAATGTCGGACTGTTCGCCGGATCCGGTAACAAACATTACCGTAAAACGGGGTGAGATAACGCGCGACATGTCGAGACGTCGTTCGCTTCGATTTCCACGCGAGACGGGTAATCGCATCGACTAGTCACTAGCGCACGAGGGTGAGCATTTACGCGAGATGTTTCGTTGTTTCAGGAATACGAAATGATCGGCATTGTCGCGCGTTATCCTTTCTCAAGGCTACACCAGATGCACACGAAGATCGACCGCGGAATGTTCGAGACTGAAAAAAGAATATTGAAAACTATATATCTAGAAAGGTGCCGAATATTCCGATGATTTTTCGGGTGTATAGGACAGCCTGTTGAGCTGGCGGGTTTATCATTCCTAGCGGTACCAAGCGACGCGACCGGAGCTTCAGAGGCATTGAATAATCTTATTGTATTTTTTTATTTATCCCATACAATTTAAAAGGAAAGTGTCGCACACAGGAAATAGTTCTGTCGCGAGATATAAAATGGAGAGACAAAAGGACTCACCATTGTAATTTAATTATATCGGTGGATTTTAGAGAAGCATCCCCCTGCTTTTCCACCACTGATACAAGATGTCTTGGTATCGCTAGGCTCAATTCTTATCCGAGCAGCCTTTCTTTTCGCGAAGAAAACGAATTAATGCTCGTGGAAGCGATTATTTGACGTAAATCACGGACAAAAATTCGAAGTCTTAGGCGAATTTGGAGATAAGCAGTGAGAGAACGAAGGATGTGAATCTAGCGCAGGTTTCCTTTCTCGCGAAGATGATCCGGAGCCCGGATGAAGATTGACCCAGACGCGGGTGCGAGCCGAGGGCGATCGCGGGCTCGCGATACGAAGTATCGGCGAAGCGGTCGCGTCGCGCGCATACCGCGTACAACGTATTTCCTGTTTCCGCTGCCCCGGGGCGGCGTTCGCCCGGGAAGAACTTCCGGCGACGCGTCGGCACGGGGCTCTCCCACGTATATTGCTCAGAAGAGATCGGCGACGCCGCACCCGGAAATTTACCCGTCGACCAGTCCGTCGAGGAGCTGCGGTGTCGTCGACCTCGCAGATGGAAGGTAGAGGAGAAGACACGCAGAACGTAATTACAAAGAAAGAGAGAGAGAGAGAGAGAGAGAGAGAGAAAAAAAAGGAAAAAAACGAAAAAAAAAGAGAAAGCGGTGCGAACGATTGTATTTTTTGAAACACGACGGGAGACGCTATCCTGAAGCAAGAGACAACACAGAAACAACGCACCGGCGTTTGCCGGCAACGGTAGAACTCGACGAAAACGCACCTCCAGCTCTGCGTCTGGTGGTGGTGAATAACGAAGAGTGAGGGGTGCACGATCAAGGCAAATGACGTGTCGCGTCTTCGATTTTAAATCTGGGAAATCGTCGGGAAGGTAATTTCGGCCTCCGACGAATGGCTCCGATAAGGGGGTGAGTTTCGTCGTTGCGAGACGTGCCCGATCGCACCCCCGTTCTTCCCCGTTTGTCGTCGTATTTTTCGTTTACTTCGTATGTACAACCGATAACATAGCGCGTGCGTAAGAAGCGAGAATTTCGCGGGTTCGACAATCCGCCCGTGACATCGGCGAGCATCTCGCGCCTCCGTAGGACCGCGTGTTGTACCTATAGGAACAGACGAAGTCACTTCTTTCCATAAAAGAATATAATAATAAATAAATACGATCCGTAAGATTACATTCCATCAGGTCGACACGATAAATCGATTTCGTCGTTCTGAGATCCGCTTTTATAGCGAGAAGTGAATCTGTCTCCGGGTACAACAAGCCTACCTGGTTCCATGAAGCGCGAACAGGAACGGAACGTGTCCTTAACGAAAACCGTTAATCGTCTAAATGCAACTATAAGTGTCATTCACGGTGAATGTGTTTTTTTTTTTTTATAACGAATCGCCGCACTTTTCGAAAATATTACCGTAAAGGTATAGGAGATATTAAGCTGCGAGGGTAGTTTATATTTACGAGTTTATATTTACGTCACGATTCACAAATGAGATTATTCGAGTATCAGCATTATTAGGCAAGACTTCTCTAAATCCCGGAGGGATGAAGATTGAGTCATACTAGCGAGTAAGAATTATTTTATATTCAGGAGACCCCGGCATTCTCGAGATACACCCGCACGGATCTGTTTCTCTTTGACCTTTTCGGGAGAGGAGATTATTCTCCCACCATAGAGCAATAGTAGTTCACCTCGTGGTGCCGATATTGATTTTCCTGGAAATTCAAGCATTGAGCATTGGCGTGAGATCGAACAGAATCGAACAAGTGCACATTGTAATCTCTCGACCCGTGACTCGTCAAGTTCTCCAGATTCTCGCAATCCCGGCCTGAGAAGAGGGCTGACAGGTTTGCGTAGATTCGGATGTATACATTTATAGAATCAGGAACGATTTGCCGGTGCGCGTCTATGCGTAAGGTATCCGAACCAGTATTGTAATCCAAGTAGACGAACAATAACCACGTACAACAGTATTATCACGAGCATCGTGTTAGCAATAATCGGAAGGGACACTCAATCTTCACACCGATTGTTTCAAATACTCTTGATATATAAATATTCTTGAATGGAATAATCGGATCGTAGATGTATAGCGTAGAGCGTAGACAGATGGACGATGGTCATCTTCGTTTTCTCATTTTCCCGTTTGAGTCATTTCGTATTCTACTCCGTGTCTATTTGTACCGTGTCTACGTGTGTGTATGTATGGTTTGGATATAGTACGCGTGGACACGTCGTGATTTGCGCGTAAACATCCGGTATTATCGGCTTTCGCGCGAAGCTTCCATGGGTGCGACACCATATATATTTAGGGATGTCTCTCCGTATGTGTCTACGTTGAGAGACTTAAAGGGACACAAAGCCAGTATTTGCGAAACAAATTTACACGTAGAGATCGGCGAATAGATCTGTCTTTGCGCCTCGTCGACTGTACGTATAGTGAATCGTGGCGCGCGAAGATGCGTTGAACGAGCCTCTCGCACACGCGTCTACATTAGCGAAGTTCATCCGATGCATTGCACGGTCCGAATTAAGACTTAAATAGCTGCGAAATCTCTCGCAGGGCTACTAGGAATCGCTAATAGGATGATCCGCGTGAAACCTTTCGCACCATTCTTAAGAACGATTTCGACGACAAGCGCGTATCCTATTCCGAGGGTATTTCGCTTCGTTTCTACTCGCGCGAGGAGTCACGAGAGAAGACGATCGAGAGATTATATCGTTTTGCGCGTATAAGAACATGAGATCTCTTGACACATCGCAACTATAAAGTTGTAACAAGCGAGGAGAAACATCTTTCTCCGAGAGCCTTCTTTCTTCCCGAGTTGCGTTATTTAGCTTGCGTTACGTGGTTTGTGTTGAAAATGAAAGATTCGACTCGATTTGCGTGTTTTGATTTGCGACCGAGAACTGCTTCCAACACGTGTTGTCTCGTCTACTACCGATTCGCTTCCCCTCTTCGAGAAGCCGGCATGCTCCTCGGTCTTGAAGACGAGGCTTCCGACTACTTTAGCGGCTGTTGGACAATTGACTGAATGACTGACGTTTAATTATAGATTTCATCGAATCTGCTGCACGCACGCGCAAGCACACGTGTCACCCCGACAGTACCCTCCTCAGTTCCAGCGTCCTAACGCTGAGAAGAAAAAAAGAGAGATGAAAGATTCCGAAGTGGAGATCGGAAATTCGCGTCCACTGAGGGGGGATACGCGGTGGACCGGACGTTAAGGACGACCGTGTAAAAATTTTCACTCTCACCCTCACACTCGTCACCTTGCTTGCTTGGAGTTACTTCGGTCCAGGCGAGATCGATCCGCACACCAAGAAACACACGAGTGTCTCGCCGCAGACATACGGATACACGCAAAAAACTTATACAACATACACATGAATATATGACCCTCGCACGCACACAAAATACGATCCTGTTGTATCGCGGATATAATTATAAGCGCGCCATAGCTCTCTCTCCCACGTCCGAAGACACACCTAAAAGGGTTTTAATGTTATTGTTATATGCGTACGTTGTAATATATGTGAACGAAGCATGCTGAGCCCTGTAAAAAAAAAATAAATCCCTCCTTTAAACCCCAACTCATGCGAGGAGCTTGTTACACGCGTATGTGCACACACATATACGAATATCCGTGCGTGTCTCGCGAGGAAATCGCGTTTATCCGCGGCACGTTGCGCGGATACAGCCCGATGGGAAAATCGTACTTCGATCTTAACGTTATCTACGATTGGAGTATCGGGTGGTGTGCCGTTTTCTTATAATCGCGAACGGATCCGCGAGCGGCCTCGGCCAGATCTGTATTGGCGCATATCCTTTGAACACGAATCGTCCAGCATTCTGAAATTGACAGTCACGGTAAACTCCCGTACAGCACACTTGTCCAAAAGCGGGAGATAAGGCGTCTAAAAGATGGCTAAAAGACGTCGAAAAGACGTCTTATGTCTTGATTTTGGACACGGTGCTGTCTGGGTTTTTACATTGAATTATAATAAATTTACTGAAATGCGATGCGACTAATAGAATATCTTGGAAACTTGCTGTGTCTTTTAATCAATTCGAACGTGCTATCCGGAGTTGCGGTCGAGGCTGCGAAAGGACCTTCTCGTAATCGCGATCGTTCGACGTCGATCACCTAGCTCCCCGTCTCGATTAATTCCTTAAAAACCACGCTCGCCCCGGATAAGTATCGACGAGCGGATATTGTACGTTTTGTCCACAATAATCGTAAAAGAAAAGATTGTCCTCCGCCGGCGAAAGCGGCGGAACAATCGACTCGAGCGAGCACGCGCCTCGAGAACGTATAAGAAAGATATTGCATGTTTGTGATTCGTGAGTGCATTTAAGCGCACTATATTTCAAGATGTGTAACATAAATTTGTATCGTGGCACATAGTCCGATAAAAAAAGAAAAAGGAAAAAAAAAGAACGAAAGAAAAGGAATCTTTCCACACGTGAACTTATTAGATCGTCAATTACGCCGGTGTACATCTTATATATTGGTCGAGTAATAAAAATGATCGTTCTCCTGTCGTCAAGTACTTCACGTGGCTGTAAAGTATCGGCCATCCGCAAAGCGAACCAAACGAGATTGACGCACGAAGAATAACCGGGTTGAGAGGATAAACGGAATTCGGTATTCTAAAATTACCATAAGATCTTTAAGTACTACCACTGTAATTAAGATAAAAATTAAATTAAACAGAACAGGCGAAAAAAAAACTGATCCTACACGTGAATCACTTTGGTTGTCACTTTCCCATATAAAGATTCTAGCGATAATCAACGAAACTCGCGACCACAAGCTCTCACCTTACCTTTTTGTACGAACGACTTATTCTTTTGCTAAATGACAAAGTGCGTGCAATTTACAGATATCGTCGCCAAGTTTATTACAGGTAAGTGATTATACTCATGCAACATGATTGTCAGAAGAGTCGAGCAAGTCTCATATAGAAGCGTGATGTTATACAAGATATTAGAATACGAGATAGTGTAGACATTTATGAATTTATTTATCACGTCGTTGAAATACTGTACATCGAGTGGTACTATCATTTTTTTCGTAATTGCCTAGATACAGACGGATGAATTACAAATATAAGCGCGCGCTAGACATTTATAATTTATTATGATCTATAGATACGTACTGATTAAACACCGTTATACACTGGAAGTTTTAGTTCGCATGATTAAATTTATACATTCGCTCACATCAACTTAGCCCTTTCTTACTGTCGTGCGAGCGTGTGAGGATTAGCATTATAAAAATGTAAACTGTAGTTCGCGCCGTAATGGATTTGCATAGCCTAATCTATGTACCGGTGTATATTGATAACACTTGGAAAAGGAAGAAATCAGATGCAGCATGGGAATGCAAAAGGAAATAAAAGATACGATAGCACATTTCATCACTCCTATCACTAGCAAATACACGGTAAATCTCTGTTCGAGCACGCTTCACGCATTCTTGCATGCGCGCCCGCGTTAGAAAATTTGTTTTACATAAAATAGCTGACATTAGAAATTCGTGTAAACATGGTCAGCAAAACTATCGATTGTATCGCACGATGAGTGTCCGGCTGCCGAATTGGACGGAATACACGCAGTGCGCATTGTGTGCAGACTGAAAGCTGTACACAAGAAGGATGACCTATAAATAGTAGCGCGTTCCCTCGAATTCGGCAGCCATTAAAGTGTCGTTTCTCGCGAATAGAGAATGTCTCGTTGAAACAGTTTATTGCAACTTGTATCGTTTTTGTCGGAGGTAAAAAAAAAGAAAAAAAAATTACCTGTGTTGCAACACACATTCTTTAGCCGCTGGAAGATCATCTCTCGCTACTCCAATAACTCTTGCCGATAACTTCTGAGGAGAAACGATTTCTCGTTAGTATCGGTCTTCCCGCGGGGGTCAACAGTTCTTCGGTTAGCATAACGATTTACCATTACGATTGCTGACGGGGCTACGACTCCGCGAATAGCTGCGGCTGTAGCTTCGTCGACTGCTGCGGCCGTTGCGTTCTCTGCTGTAGCTTCGACTTCTGCTTCGCGAGTAGCTGCGCTCTTTTCCATTACGGCCTCCACCACCACCACCCCCACCTCCTCCTCCACCACCGCCTCGTGATCGCCATCGATTTCTTCCACCTGTCAAATATCAATCCAACCGATCCTTACACGAATAAACTTACACGAATAAACAGTCTTTTTAGCAATCGTTTTAGAGTTACCTCTGTTTCTGCCATAACCGCCAGATTTATTGTCGGCGAGCTCCAGCAGTTTTGGGTTTATCACTTGATTCGCTTCTTTCAGCACCTGTATCAGATCGTTGGCCTTGTTGGCGTTGTTAGGCGTGAAGAAGGTATACGCCGTGCCGGTCTTTTGTCGGCGACCGGTACGGCCGATACGATGGACGTAATCCTCGGAACAGGAGGGGTAGTCAAAATTGATGACAAACTTGACGTCTTCAACGTCTGAAATTAAGAGTTGGCATTAGACCAGCCGGATCTTCGCAGGGTTCCAGCGTTCAGGACAGACATGGGTTAAGAAAGTAGTAGTGTCGCAAGGATTGTGAAACACCGCGAGTCGAGTATGAATGAAATATTACCGGACGATATATTAAATTATAACGTTCGATACGTTCTCCGAGAAGCTAATAATCCGAGCTGTCACGTCGCTCATCTTTTTGTGCTAATGATTCAACAAAGAAATTCTTGACATAAAGATTCTATTAAAAAGCAATTTCTCGGTATAATATTTCTTTTTTCATCATTTAATAAGTAATATGTTCTACGCATATTTATTTAGAGAGCGCTTAGAGCAACGTACGCGAGAAACAAAAACAAACCGTTGGAACCGAGAACAATCCTGATCTTTCTCTCTCAAATATTACAAAAATTCTTATTTTATTGCGTGTTAAAAAATAAAAAATGAGATATGTTTCAAGTCTTTTTTCGCAATTTGGGCGATCGGTAAGTAGAAAAAAGACCAGAATCGTTGTATAACAAGTTCACGTGATGATACAATAGTTAGTATGATAAAATGCGACTGATGTATGATTATCACAAGGACTAGAAGGAAAGAGGATCAGAAAATGCATACAGTTTAAAGTGGTAGGTTTGTGAAATGTTACGCATTTATACACGCATATATACGTATACATATATATAGACGGCTGATTAGCTTCGTTTTGACAAACATTACTCATAAATAACAAATTAGTAACAATTCCACGAACGGAGATAGATGCAATGTATACATTATATATACGCGTATACCGATGTGTGTGATATGTGTGTGTCTGTGTATGCGTGCGTGTATGTACGTGTATATATGTATATGTCAATTAATCAAATTTGAACTATGTAATACTAAAATATTAGGCAGTGGGCGAGTGTTTCGCTAGCAACGTACGGGCAGGGCCTGGCTATTTGCGCTCGCTCCAGCTACTGCCTCCGCCACTCTGTCGCTACAGGCGCAGGGCGCAGGGCGCAGGGCGCGCTAAGAGAGGCTCTGGCATATCTGCTATCACATGCCACCGCCTCAACGGACCAACGTTGTTGGTTGTCTGATTAGCTTGAGCGTGCCAGCGCAGGGGACTCTATTCTGGCAACAACGACCTGGCCAGCCAGCCCGGATGGCGCAGCGCAGTAGGACTGATATCCAGTATGTAGGTAGGTAGGTAAAGTAGTAGTAGTAGTAGTAGTAGTAGTAGTAGTAGATCCCGATTTGGCCCGGACTTGGCCCTTCACACGCGATTGACGGACGGACGGACGGATAGAGGCACGGCGTCGCGGCCAGCGCAGACAATGCAAACCAGTGCACCACCGAACAAAGAGCGGCGGCGGGCACCCCCGACATGCTTTGCATTACCCAGCGTGGGCCTGCGCGCAATGTGCCTCTGCAATACAAACAAAGATCCAACCGCGTTAGCTGTATGGTTACCTCCAACCATCCTCCTGCTTCAATATGCTTTTTTTGCTTTTTTTCTCTTGCCCTATTCCATTCCTACATTCTTGCTGACTTTGAGCTTGCAACGCGTTAAAATTGTAATGTCCCGTTCGCGTAGAAAGAGGAGAACCTGGACTTAAATGTTAAGGTATGTTGCGTTGCACACGTAATGCATTTAATAAATGGAATATAAATTGAGTTAAGCCAAGGTGAGTCGTTACGCAACTCGAGTTGAAACATTTGGTTTCTGTTATTCTCTGCACATATGCGATTTGACTTGTCTAATGTCATTAGAATCTATGTGACATCCACTAATACCGGTACATTTCAACTTTACATGACAAAATTATACTTCTAAAAACTTCGCGATTTAAGAAACGTTCGTTATGTGAAACTTGCTTATATCTTTCAGCTTTTAACGGAACATTACATTGCAGTCAAGATTAGTTAAATTTTTTCGGTCAGAATAGAGCATTGTAAAAAAGAGAAAAAAAATTTGATAATTTGGGGAAAAATTAATACCGTGAATATATTAACCAGTTCGTTTTCCGTGTTGCAAAAAAAAAGTGACTGATAATACACGACATCGTTGCGTCATGAATAATCGAAAAATTCAAATGACTTACCAAGACCGCGTGCGGCAACGTCTGTAGCAACGAGGATTGGTGCTTTGCCTGATCTGAAATCTACAAAATTAGATATAAGTATGTACCTGCGCGCTTATCGTCAAGTTTTTATTGAAATAAAAAAAAAAAAAGATTTAATATTCATGAATACCTTGTAAAACCCAATCTCGTTCTTGCTGTGTCTTGTCGCCGTGTATGCAAACCGCTGGCCAACCGTCACGTTTCATTTTCCTCGTTATCTCGTCCACTCTGCGCTTCGTTTCAATAAACACTATGGTCTTGTTCTCACTTTCTGCCATTATCTCTTTCAGTAGGGTACTTAATCTATAAAAATGTGACATGTGATAGCTTTTTCTTTGGTACTTTGATGATACTTGCTAATTATTGCTAATAGCTGCTAGCGACAACTGAACAAGCCACAACCACTCAAAACTCTCATACTCACTTAGTCTCTTTTTCATAGTCCTGACATACGTCAATTATTTGCAGTATATTATGATTTGCTGAAAGTTGCAAAGAACCAACATTGATTTGAGCGTAATCTTTAAGAAAATCTTCGGCTAAATTTTTTACTTCCTTAGGCCACGTGGCTGACCACATCAGCGTCTGCCTGTCTGGTCTAATTTGTTCTATGATCTTTCTGATTTGCGGCTCAAATCCCATGTCCAACATCCTGTCGGCTTCGTCTAACACCAAATATGTACATCTCTTCAGATTTGTCTTCCCGGACTCGAGAAAATCGAGTAATCTTCCGGGCGTAGCGATGACTATTTCTACACCGCCGTCCAGATCCCGGGCCTGACCGCCTTTTGGCGCGCCACCGTACAGGCAGGTGTTCCTGATGCCCGACGAATGTCCAAAATCGTCGGCAACCTGCTGAATCTGTTGGGCGAGCTCTCGCGTAGGCGCCAGGACTAACGCGATAGGTCCGTCTTTGCGACTTAATTTCGGCTGGCTATTGATGTGAACTATCGCAGGCAGTATGTAAGATAACGTTTTCCCAGATCCCGTGGACGCGATGCCCACCATATCTCGACCGCTCAGCGCGATAGGCCATCCTTGCGCTTGGATCGATGTGGGTTCGCTGAAGCCTTGTCTCCTGCAATGCGAAAAACAAAGAGCTCAGAAAAGTCTCGGCAATTATAAATTACAAGACGCCAAAACTTATCCTTTACACAACAACCGTCGCTTACTTGATCTCTCTTAGGACGTAGTCTGGGAAACCTGCCTCGTCGAAGTCAAAGACAGGATTCGGGATATTCTTGCCTCGAAGAGTGATCTCCTTCTCGGCTCTGTATTGCTCCACGACACGCGGATCTCGATTCTGCACCGCGTCGTGAGGAATATAGAAGTCCTTCTTGAAGGGTTCCAGCCGGCTGAGGTCCCATCGCGGTTTCCTCAGATTTGCTCCCGGTTGCCCGCGACTGTTGCGACTGCTGGACGGTCTGTCACGTCCTCCACTGCCACCCCAGCTCCGCCTGTCGCGCGGGGATCTACTCCGCGAACGGGTGCGTGATCTGCGTCGCCTGTCTCTGTCGCGACTACGACTGAAATAAATTGTTACATTATAGCTGCGATCCACTTAGGACCAGTTTCACAAATGTCGGTTAACTTTTAATCTTAGATTAACTGACTCTTTGTCTCTTTCTATAAGGAGAACGTTAGAAGGAGACAAAGAGTGAGTTAATCTAAGATTAAAAGTTAACCGACACTTGTGAATTAATGCTACAAATGCTTTGAAGCATTCCTCTGCTCCTTTCTTTCAGTGAAGAAAAAAAAGCATGCTTCAAAACATCAACTGAGAAGTTAGAAGTCGGAGTAATCGAGTGGGGACAGTCATTCGTTAGTAAATAATCATTGCACGTGCCGCCGGCATGAGAACCTACAGGAGTACCGTGGGAGATTTGACTTTTCTGACAGAAAGGTCAGCCTTTCACGCCGCAAGTGGTTTCCCACATTCCCATCGACGCGGACAGAACATCAGGTAGCGTTCCCGATTGACTAGACTGGAGTGGACGTCTGGACGACTCGTTTCACTCGATATATTCATGTCGTGTCGCTTACCTTCTGTAGCGGCCCATACTCGCACTTTCCGCGCAAACAATCTCGGTCTGTTAAATGACGCCACTCGAGAACGAACAGCCCGCGACAGCTCGCATACGGAACGTCAGCTCCGTCAAAGACGTCAAGACAATGCAACCAAGTTCGCCCAAATGACGCAGAGAGGGGAACTGGGGGAAAAAAAGCGACGCCATTAACGTAGCAGTGATGTAGACGCGCCCCGGTCGCCGGCCTCTTCCTACGTATCGTGTGTAATTATTAGTAATAAATTAATTACACGCGCATTTTTATCGACATAAAAATGCCGAGAGAAATTCTCCACGGCACCATTTCTCGGATTATCAGGAACTTTCTGTAAATTCCGAAAATTTCTCTCAATTTCGTGATGTCGCATGAACCTCGCGACCGATTGGCCGTCGCGTTGCGACGCGCGCCAATCGGGATCGCGAACGTCCACGTGACTCTCTTTTGCAAGATTTTAATAGATTCTAAAAATTAAATATAATAAAAGTATAAAAATTAATTTGACAAATTTTTGTCAGCAGAACATTAATAAAAGTATGTGAATTGATTTTCATTGTGGAACAATGAAATTTCACTCAGGGACCTCAGGGTGCACCAGTATTCCACTATTAAAGTTTTTTCAGTAGAAAATGCTATATATATAGAAATAAGAATTTGCATATCCTAATATTTATTACACAGGAATAATATTCCTATATATTATCCTTTATATATACTAATATTTAATATTTTTATATTTGTGCGGGCGCAGCACGAACAGACCTATTTACCGACCGTTCCCCATTCCCAGGCGCGCCTGCGCGGAGCCGAGCGACGTATCGGCGGCGCACCGCATAGGACGAAAACGGTCATGGGCACCCTCACAGATATCGCAGAGCTGCGAACGAGGAAAGGGACTCTCCGCTAACCAGTGAACCATTTTTCTGTCGTCAAACGGATCAAGCTTTTTGTGAGACTTGGATCGATCACAAAAAGCGGGATTCGCTTTTCGCATAGGAATTGGCCTGACGAGGAGCCGGCTGAACAACATTTTTTTCCACGCAGCTACGTCTCCCCGGAATATCCGTAAGTGTGTGCGCGAAGGACGCGTGTGTTTGTTCCCCCCCGGTGACTTTGGCCCGCCGAGATCGAATCGCTGTAAGCGGAATGATACGCGACGTACGACGACTGGTCGGCGACGACGACGCTCGTTGTTCCCCAGGGCGTTCGTCCAGGTCGTCGTCATCGTCATCGTCGTCGTCGTCATCGCCGCGAAACGAAACGACGTTGTATGTATACCGTCTCGTCTCCCCCGGCGAGTCCCACGCGTATTTCCGTTACGGTCAATCGATGGGTTTTATAACAATCATGGCGGCCATGCCGGTCTTCCTCGCGGTCTCGATACATTCCGTCGACACCGCGAGACGCGACCCCGTCGCGGTTTCCGCGCGCCGAGACAACCGCGTCCGCGTCCCCGAGGTCGCCGCTCCGCCGGGACGTTCTCGATCGCCGATCAACGACGGCGCGTCGTTGCCTCCGGAAATCCGGAGCAAGCGGCCGCGATTTCGATATTTATAGCCGAGAAGATCGCGCGAACGGACACGGGACACGCTAATTAGCTCCTGTACGCGGTGTCATTGCTCAACGAGATAAATACAAATACGAGAGCGCGAGATGAGCTTTGTTTGAAAATTCCCGAGTCGTTATCTTCGGCGTGTGTTTTTATGAGGGAAACGGAAGGGAAAACATGTCGTTAAATTCTGTACTCATTGTCAGCGTCGCGATACAGGCCTTGTATATCGTCCCAGTCGCGTTGACATTGGAAAAAGGTTACAGCTTCATAACACGCTCTGTTGCGATTCCAGAACTACAATGGAGGAAATGCATCAACCACCGCAAGTCGGGCCTAACATGATGGCTGGTGTGGGTGGCGTTCCTAATCATTCAAACAACGTCAATCGCCGTAATAGAGTTCGCGTAACGTTGCACGCCATGATGTTGGAGAAACTACCGTTGCACGAGGCGGCACGTTTGGAAATGAAGTCGTTACCCAGCAAAACCCCGGTCTCCGTTCTCCAGGAATTGCTCTCCCGCCGAGGCACGATACCCAAGTACGAGCTGGTGCAGATTGAGGGAGCGATTCACGAGCCTACGTTTCGATACAGAGTCACCGTCACCGACGTCGTTGGTTTGTATAACACTCGTCGCTCGTTTCCTTCTCGCAGACAGCAGCGTGCCGTTGACTGATAAGCGCATAACTATTCAGATGCAGATCCCATTGTTTCAGCAATGGGAACTGGCCGGTCCAAAAAGGAAGCGAAACACGCCGCCGCGAAGGCCGTGCTGGATAAATTAATTGGAGTCAATACCGAAGGTGTAGAGTCTCCGCTTCCAAATAGTTTGCCCGAGTATGTTCACTCAGCGCTTAAATTGCGCTCAAACGTAAACTTCAAGTTGCGTCGCGCAAAAGTACACGCGACGTGAAATAATTCTGTATACCGTTTTCTTACGTAGCTCGCAAAATTTACAAGAACTCCAGACGTACGGGGAGGAGAAAATAGTCAACAATCCAATCGGAGCCTTACAAGAAATGTGTATGTCGCGCCACTGGCCACCCCCGAAATACACGATGGAGGGTGAAGAAGGTTTACCTCACGAGAGACAATTCACTATTGTTTGTTCAATCTTAAAGTATCGCGAGGTTGGTCAAGGAAAAAGTAAAAAAGTCGCAAAGAGGCATGCCGCTCACAAGATGTGGCAAGCACTACACGATATGAATAATCAAGCTCCCAGTGTGGATGAGGACGAGGTAAGAACTTGGTATTTCCGTTTTGCATTTACATTAGATAATGGAAATTATTCTTACATATCGATGTGTATTTAATTCCTATTCGTCACTGTGTCTTGACGTTTGAATATTTTTAACTTTTTGCATTTGTAGTCTTGACCTCGCCGATCAGAATTATTTCAGAGTTAAAAACATCTCTCATTGTCTTTTAAAATGTATACAAATACTTAAAGAAAAAAAAACGGCTAAAACATGATGTATGATCAGAAGAATAAAAATCCTGTCAGACATGTGACCACATAAGGGTTAAGAAGCAAACGATTAATGATAATTTATTTTAAATCTGATGTATCTGCGTATAAGGGTGTATGTGTGTGTATGCGTGTGTATATATGTGCGCGCGTATATGCATATGTCGTAGGGATTCCGTGTAATTGGTTTTTTTTGTTCAAAATCCCTAAAGAATCTACAAAAAACCGGGATATTGTGGAATGAATAAAAATTACACAATCTTACTAGTAATTTTGTAAAATTCTCGGCTCTATCAATTCTAGAAATTGTGAGTTGACATTTTTATTAATTTATATTTATAAATATAGTGTAAATTATAAAAATTACATTTAAATTATATTTATATTTATAATTTTTATTTATTCCACAATATCTCGGTTTTTTGTAAATTCTTCAGGGATTTTGCAAAAAAATATCAATTACACAACATCTCTACGACATATATACGAATGTGTGTGTTTAGAGAAGTGGAAGTGATTTTAGCTTTAATGCCACTTGATGTAATAAGCTATCTTTCCGATCTGTTTAAATCTATAACGGACTATTATTTAGGCAATATTCGGATTTCAATGTGCAACTTCCATTATAGTTGTATATATATTTTTTCTTGAAAGTAATTTATGCTTGGGTCATTCCACTTCATTTCTAGTTTCTATGTAAATGTGGAGTAGCTGTTAATAAAGCATTTATTAACGTATGTGCTTATCAAGAAGTTTTACATGTAATATTAATTGTCCATTATAGATTGTGCAAAGAAACGCAAACGTGAGCGCCCGTTATGCCGATCTGAAAGGTAGCAAAATTTCGACACTGACAACAATACATAGTATCCAAGTTTCGAAATTTCACAAGAGTCTCAAGTCGTCCACAGGTGTTAAACTTTTTCAACTGCAGGTTTGTATTCAACCTCACTGAAGTGAATAGAAGAATAAATGTTCTAATTGCTCTCTTCCTTGTTATCAAGCCAAAAAGACACATTTGCTTGTCTTTAATATATCGACATAAATTGGAATCGATTGCGTGCAAGTTATTCTAATTTTGTTGCAGAATACTTGTTTCAATGATGGGGATGTAAATTTGGTACAATTTTTACAAGAAATTGCGTCGGAGCAGCAGTTTGAAGTAACCTATGTTGATATTGAAGAGAAATCTATCAGTGGTAAGTTGATTAATGATATATGATACAAAGAGATTTTATTTTAGAAATAATTATGCGTAGAATAAAATTATAAATTTTTTTATTATATTATTTATTGTCCAGTAAGTACAATATTAACAGGCACGTCGTCTTCATTAGCAGGAATATCTTCTTGTATCTGTTCTTTAAATGCTACCGCTACTAGATATGGCTTTATACCTTGTTTTTGAAAACATCTCTTTAAGTACTTGTCGTAGTAACCCATTCCATGTCCCAGGCGTTTTCCTAGTCAATAATAAAGATAAAACAGTTACATGCAGGATTATAAAATGTGTCATATTTATTGAGTAAAACTCACCATTCGACGTGAAAGCCACACCCGGCAAAATTATCAAATCTAATCCACCTAAAATAAAGAATTGATACACTTTAAGTTATTAAACAATTTTACAAAACAAGTTTCATTATAAAAAATGTTTTTTTTTTAATTATAATTTGATTTATCATAGAGTTTACCTGTTTCTAATGCATTTTCGCGACTTTCAGTAGTGCTTGGTTGTTTAATGTTCCATTGTGTTAGTGGCAATGTTTCATAATCCTCCATCGACCTTAGTTTTACCATTTCCATAATTTTTCCACAATATTGCGGTACAAATGCCTCTTTTCCCATATCAAATATGTGTTTCAAGATAGGCAGAGTGTCGATTTCATCTTTAGTACTCAAGTACAGAGAAATTCTCTTGCTATCTTGAAATTGCTTCAACAAGCATATCTGTAAATAACGCGGTAACAATTAAATAATATTGCAAATATAATTGCTTTTTACACAATGTGCTTTTTTATCAGAACATAACCTCTTCAATAAGCCTCTGGCTTGGAGATTATTGATTTATTTGCTTTCTTCAGACTCACCTTTTTAAATACATTTGCAGATTGCTCTTTTCTTTCTTCTAAGCTAATGTTTTTAAGAATGTCCTTGATTTCTTTTCTCAAAACACTTTTAGCTGATGTTAAAGCTGCCATATTGCAGGTGATTTGTGCTGTTGCTTATGTGTAGGATTACTCCTACCACACTACTTGTAAATAGCGTTTCGCTCTCAAGTATATCCACGTTTACGGTTTTTTTGCATGTTAAACTGTGTTAAGCATTATACAAGTTCACTGATGTTTATATGTGTAGTATGACCTTTTAGTATCACATGTTATCACGAATCATGACACAAAATTTTATCAAGATTGCGCAATTAGTTGTTGCCCAATACATCGAAATGATACCAATTTTATTAAATAATGCTACAGCTGTAATCTATACGGTGTCATTCCGTCTTCTAGGTAAATTCCAGTGCCTTGTGCAACTGTCTACCCTGCCAGTAGCAGTTTGCTATGGTTGCGGCGTGACTAGTAAAGATGCTCAAGCCAGTGCTGCTCAAAATGCCCTGGAATATCTGAAAATCATGACCAAGAAGTGAGCCAGCGCTTTGCTCCTGCCAGCTGTCACCATCACCTGCAAGCCCCACAATCTGGCATCTAATAATCAGAATAATAATAATACGGACATCAAAGTATTATCGGCCAACAATCAGATTGGCGAAAAAGGTAAAGGCGGACAAAACTACACGGGAGGTAAGAACAGAACGTCCAAATTGCCTGTCAGGGTAACGAGCACCACGGTGAGCAACAAAAATGCTGCCTTGCACAGCATTGCAACGTCTGGGAGCTCGATTGCCGTTGGCAAAATTAATTCGTCGATGAAAAAGCACGACGGTAATAATGATAGTCGAAAGTCCTCGAGCGAATCGCACAACACGACGAAAACCGGGTCGATCGTCACCGCGAAGCAATCCAGCAGTTCCACGTTCAGTAGCGTACGGCCTGTCAATACCTTTATAACCAGCACCGCGCACGAGAACCCGATGAAAAATCCAAAGGATTACACCGCTCCGAAGAAATTTCCAAACGAAACGAATTTAGGCATCAAGAATTATACAATCCAATTGGATTACAAGGAGCCGATGTCTGTGAACAGTCCGGATTACAAGAGCATCGCTGGATCGATGACCGCCAATCTACCGTTAAGATTCGCGACGCAACAGTCAATCCCGACGCCGATTTTGCACAGGGAGACCTACACGCCGTCCAGCACGTACAGTCCGCAGTCCGCTTCCTGTCAGAGGAACGACAACAGTGCGTTTGCGATTGCGCGCAAGGCACTGGAACAGCAGCAGAGCTCGATGCCGAAGATGGCACCGATCAACTTTCCACCGCTGCGCGCCCCGCAGAGCATCGTTAACGTGCGGCATCCACTATTGACGGACGCGCGTATCAAGCACGGCAACGAGACGATCGGCGGAGGCGGCATCAGCGGTGGTGGTGCCGTCGGCCTCAAGTCCAAGCTCAATATCATGAGCTCGCTACAGAGCGGCGTGAAGGATCTGGCCGATCACACCGGACGTTCGCAGACCGCGTTCCACGGATACGGCACCTCGCCGATCGCCGCCGGCATACCGAGCGTGCAGAATCTGAACAGCGCGGTGACGGCCAACATCTCGCCGTACCCGAGACCGGAAGCCTTCCCGCAACCGACGGTGGCGAACGTGCTGTTCCCCGAGACCGCCGCGCAGTTTCCGCAATCGCCGCCGTTCAACACCACGCCGATCGGCCAGCTGAACCAGTATCAGACCTACGACCCGGGCAGTTACCCCACCACGCCGGTCAACGTCAACACGGTGATACCGCAGTTCTCCGCGGAGAGCTCGATTCCATATCCGCAGTATGAGAATCCGCCGCAGTTTGTGCAACCGAGTCACTACCCGACCGCCGACATGGCCAACAGTCAGTATCAGTATCAGGCGGCGGCGGCGGCGGCTGCAGCGGCGGGTGTAGGTCAGATACAGGACTCGTCCATATTCATACAGAGTCTTCAGAGCACGATCGCGGTGACCGATCAGTACGCCACGCCGAATTACGCTAGGACTGTCAGGACGGAGCTGATAACACGTTTGAGAAGACCACCGCGATTCAACAAGTAAAAAATCGTCAGATCTTTACTTTAGATTCCTTTTAAATACACCGAAACTTGGGAACAAATGGTCGTCACTTCCTTCATATTATTATGATTCGTGGATGCTGGATAAAATCTTTGTAAGATAGAGCTCGTCTCCATTTATCGATTTTCTAACGTTAGAAATTATTTGTTGATCCGGGAGACGAGTTAGACGCGTCGAATCGCCGATTATTTATCGTTGTCTCGAGCGTTTCGCAGATATTTCGCGTGTACGCGAAGTTTGTCAGATTACCTTACTCGCGCCTTAATCGCAGAGGATATGGTAAAACTTATTTCAATTTATGATCCAGTTTGAAATAAATTTTAGCCAATCTGAGTCACAGGGACACGGTCGTCCGAGCGGGGGAGACGATACTTTGGCAAATTTACGCAGACACGATACGCGGCCGACATTCTCGTCGGCACGTTACATCTAAAAGGATCCATTTTGCCGTAAGCGAGGGTAGGCAGGATGGATTTTGACTTGTTTCCGTCATACGAGTGACACGGCAGAGCATAGTGAGTTGAGCTCAACCTGTAATTTTACAATGTAATGTATTCTATAGCGTGAATATTCAGGATGAGGCGATATTTACAAAAGACACGCTATTTACGAAGCTGTACCTAAATCACGACCGCTGTGAGCGATCAAAACGGTGGCGTTTTGATTGAATTAGTTTTTTTCGAGTCACACGCGCACGAATCGTGCGATGGAAGGCAGGAGTATCCGAGCGCGCGGAGTAACGAAACGGCGCTTCGACAGAGAGGATAAAAAAAAGGAGAATAGAGAGAGAGAGAGAGAGAGTGAAAGGAATTGTCGCTTCACCAGGTACAAGAGAGATAGAATTCTTCTCTCTCTCTTTCTCTTTTCGATTATCGTATAAGTTCTAGTTTTAATGAATGATATTCTACAAGCTATACTTTGCATAGAATTAGTGGAAGTTTTCCAATACTTACATAATACTTAGCTTACCGCTATGTTTTTAATGTGCTTCACTATTTGTATATGGGGGTGGTGGTGTAATGATGTCTGAGATGAGTGCGCGTAAGAGAGAGATTACATGGGGTCGGAAGGGAGAGTTGATTAGAAAATTGATCAACGTAAAACGAGGCAGAGTCGTCTAGCGATTTTTATTATCACGTGTAAAATGACTCGTATCGTTCCGAAAATTTTTGCTCCCATTTACCGCGAAACATTACATCTCCACTAAGCGTATGCACAATGCAAAAAGTGAGAAGAAAAAAAGACAAAAAAAAAAAAAGAAGAAGTAGCTTTGCGCGGCGATCCGAGTGTAGCTAATAAACGCGTGATCGCGGATATAAGGAAATATAATCTTTCAGTGGTGTATGTTTTTTCCTTTAGTATAGGTAGCTCATAAACTCATAAGCATCACATATTAAATACGCGTGTAAGGATTAATCGTTAAGGATTCCTCATTAAAAGTGCGCATGTCGAGTCTAAGGGTATAGGTCGAGCGTGTAACGAACTTTCGGATTTGCCTACGTATACCAATTGACGTGTCACCGGATGAGACTTTTTATACTAAATGAAAAAGAGTAACATCGCGAAATATATACGATAGACGAACACACGCGAAGCGCGTCAGGACGGTGGGACGGCACGATCGGGAGAGAGCCGAAGAGAACTTCCGGTCCAGTCGTCAGCCGTTACATCTCACGGATCGTGACATATCCCTTTGGTCCGTCGAATAAATTTAGAAACGCGGGGATCCCCCTACCTGAAACCGTGTACTTCAACGCGTTTCTAAATTCGTTTGAATTTAAACTTCTAAATTTATTTTGAAATTTATTTTCTAGTCCTAGTTCATCGCTTTCATTTCCTGAAAGCGGAGGAATAAGGAACTCGCTGATCGGGATTAGTCCAATCGCCTGTAGATCAATTCTTCGAAGAATGATTTACGGCAAATAGATTTGGTGTAGCACCAACGAACGGCATAATCCTTAGTTTTCTTACGATCGGCGATTTACTTTCGATATCTTATTTCTTAAAAAATTATACATATATCTGCGTGTGCATACGCCATTTTGAGTTGCGATGGTTCAGAAATTTCACGGTAAATCACTGTTGTAATCTGTAGTATATTCTTTTGTACATAATGCTGCGTAAAAGTGGCACAGTAAGATAGCGAGCGAGAGAGAGAGAGGATGAATGAATGAGAAAGCGAGAGATTTGTTAACATTTATAAGCGTTAGGACCGATAGCAACGTCAATTAATACCGATTGCGATTGTACATATTTTCTTTTTCTAGGAAAAACGCATGGAGAGAACTTCTAATTTTATCGAATATCAATATGCCGAAATCGTGAAATTGAATGTAAAGTATCGTTTAGAGTATCTCTCGGGATCTCCTTGGATCGTCGAGGATTAATCGGTAATAATTGACGTTACCACCACGATCGAGCTCTTAGCTTCCCGGTGGGAAGACAGGCGAAATTGCAGAAGCGAAATTGTGTATGCACACTCTCCTTCGAAGAAGAGCGATATCGCGATTTTCATCAGCGGCGGCGTGTTTCTATAATGTTTTGACGCGCGTGTATGTGTGTATGCGTCAACAGTGTGCAAAAGGATAAGGATGGTATGATGTGCACGGTCAAGGGATCATGGAAACGCGTGAATCGAGCGACGAGGATGCAAGGGTGAAAAAAAAAAGAAGCAAATGAAGAAAAAGATCTACCGGTCCGAGCGAGCCGACGCGAGGGGAGGAATCGCCCGCGTGATTCAGTGATTGCGAAGGAGTGCGTGTTTCACATATATCTTTGGAAAATAGGCATTACTTACATGCAAAGTATAGAATGTGTATGTGCGTATAGACATACATTCGCTAGAGGCGGGGGACGATGAACATTGCGGTTCCTCGTCCCCTTTACTTTCCGTACGAGAGAGAATGATCCGTGCCATCGGCTGCTGATCCCGGTCTCTCGGGACCGGAACCGGAGCCGGCGTCCCGGCGAGGAACGGCGACGGGTCGTCGTCGTCGTCGTTTCGGTTCCGAGGTGTTACCTATTTATCTCGAGATTTCCGCGAGTCGAAGCCAATTCGAGAAACCGAACGACGCGACTTAATTGTCCCCGACGTTGAAGCCTTCAGTTGATGTCTGTGCTTTTTTTTTTTTAATGGAGTTTCTCTTCCGATATAATTTCCCGCGGTAATAACTCGCGATCGTTTGTTCGGATTTCTCCAAGGATTACCTCTCTCGATAAGAGGTACCGAGACAGAATTACCTTTCCGAAATGTACAAGCGAATTTCCGGCGCGGGTATTAAAAGCTGTGCGTTGAGATACATGCGTTTTTATAAGGGTATAATCGGTTATCTCTAAAACGATTTAGAGAAAATCCATATGTTTCACAAAACTGATAAGTTTTGCACGAAATTAATCTTGACGCGCACATTCCACTTTTATGCGGCGTAAATCGGTGCGCTTAATTGTAAAGAGAAACGGGTGCGAGAAACGTTGACAATATTTCACTTGGTCGGAATTCGCAAGTGAGTGAGTGAGAACGACCGGAGCGGATCGTCTCCACGGAGCTTTCCCTCGAACGATCTCGCGAAATCGAAACCGAAATTTTTTAACGTCTCGAATACAATCAGCATACTGTTAAAAAATTAATTGTATCATTTCAGCGGTCTTGTTATGTCCTCCGTTTAACGAATTGCTGGGTGACGCTCGCGATAATCTAATTATCGTCAAACTTGGCGCCTTTAACGAGCGAGGATACGAGAGGAGAGAAAAGCGAACAAGTAAAAGGCCTAATCGTGGATCGAACTGAAGACTCATCACCTTCTGTTCGATTTTTTTTCTCATTCCCAGTTGTTCCAGAAAGATCGTCTCGTTATCTTGAGAGTGATCCGAGAACTCCGCTTCATTAGTTTTGCATATTGATGATGATTTTTCTTTTATTTTAATTTATTTAATCCATCCACTATATCTTTTTTTATAAAAATGTTAAAAATTAGATATAAGAGAGTCTCAAAGAATTGATTTTTAACTTACTTAATAAAATAAAATGAAATAAGAGGAAAAAATTATCGAAGAAAAGAAATGGAGACGGACAAAGCGGGTCTTCTAGATCATTTTAGGAATAAAAAGACGGTCTCCGTGGATTAATACGCATTTCGTGAATCACAAACGAATTTACCTATATAGTATGATCAGTCAAAGATGCGGAGTTATATGTAAAAATATTTGACCCGCGTTGCATTTACGAAACGTGTTACGTTCTCGTCACGAAGCACTTGTCTTCAAGATCGTTTTCATCTTCCATCGTTCTACGTTCTTTCACCTCTTTCTTCACACATAGCTTTAAATTATTGCGCGAATTTGGGCTCCAGGTTCCACGATGGGATCTCTGTCGCTTTTCTTCCCTCGTATCCTCCGCCGTTGTGCAAGGGACACGTTAGATGGAGAAAGAAATTGGGAGTGAAATGGACGAATGTGGACGTCTACCCCCGTGCGGGGAAGGATCGTGGATCATTTAGGAACGAGAGAAGGAATCGATGAGTCTTCGACTCGATCCTCGACAGACTTTTTTCCGCTTCTCTTTTCTCGTTCGTATCTGCCACGATACGAAGGGCCTTCTGAACCGCTTTGCGTTCATCCGTATTCGGCCCTAAACCGAGTCCTGTGTGTCTCTTAAGTGGGATAAAAATTGTTTAAATATAAATTGCGATTGATTTTCGATTCTCGCTTTTACATCCGAGGTCTCATTTCGCTCATCAACTTTTCTGGTTCAAGGCTTACAAACTCGATAAAAATTTATTCTGTTATTAATGTTGTTACCTGAAATGTAAAAGAATGTTATATATTTTTGTATTTAACGAGTAACGTTTCCAATTTGTTCGATGAAGGTTTACATTGGATTATTATATTTGAGGCAACATATAAAAGGATGTTATATATTTTTGTACTAGATAAGCAGCTCTAGTTTTCGTTTATGTTTTTAGCCGCGAGTCATTTGTGCGTTAGTCGCTCGTGGATTTTTTTTCGCTACAACGGATGTACTCGATTGCGGTTCACTAGGTTCACGCATCAATCCTCAAGTGCTACTACGATTTTTCGTCGTACGCAAGAATTGGACGAGACTTTCAGTGTTAGTAGCATTTAAGGATTACAGAAATGGTTGCGCGTGATCGGCCCGGTCTCGCGAGAGAAAAAGAAAGAAAACAATAGAAACAAGGCGCAGCGAAGTTTTTGCTTCTTTGCGCGAGACTGGATCGCGCGCAATAATTTAAGGCTTTATATATAAAAAAGAAAAAAAATCGGGTGAAAGAAAGTAGAACATGTGTAGATAGAAAATGAAAACGATCTTCAACGTAAATAAATGCGTCTCGGACGTGCAGCGCGAGTCAGTTTGCTTTCGGATAGGATCTCAGAACACTATTCTATATGCAACTTGTACAAACGAGCAATCTACTCTCTCCGAGGATTCTACACATCGGATTTATATTAATATAAAAAAAAAGGAAGACACACCAGAAGGGAGGGATAAACGACGAATCCTGCGCGGCGTGATGAGTCGCGTGATGAATCCGCCAAATCTTTATATATATTTATAAGCCGTTCGATTTCTTTATACGGACTGATCATAATATATTAATAGCATATTCGTTGGTGACCTTTCGCTGCGCGCGTACGTGGATGACTCGCAACGAATCGCGCGAATTAAAATTAATCCCCCTAACGGGCAGAAACGAGGAGTCACCGTGCAAATAATGAAAAAGATTATATTTGTTAAAATTTGGACGCTGTCATTGTAAAAAATGAAATTAACGCGATAAGCATACTTAGAAAGCAGAAAATTACATTAGCAGAGTTGCGTAATAGACTTTGTAAATGATATCATTTATTTAATTATCAATCGTAATAACTCGAATATCTTTTTTTCTTCTTCTTTTTTTAAATAGGGAACCGCGTCCTTCTCTATTTCAAACATCACAGATTTACAAGGCATGTATTAGAAATTGATCGAGTCATGAGAAGCAAATTTTTGTATACAGTTTATTTCTTTTCTTTTTCTTTTCCACAATCGAGTTTTTTGCTTTCGTTATTTCGCCAAGTAAAATTATCCTTTTTGCGAGAGCGAGCGAAGTTATTATGATGAACGTCATAATAACGCGATGCAATTAGCACACATAACACACGGACATGGCATACAGATAACGACTTGAAACCACGTAACGGAGCCCTATCTGTGTATAACGCGTAGGGTATCGATATCTTATAATCAGGCAAAAGGTTGTTCTATGTATGATTGTGCGTGTAACATTGTTAATAAACATACGATGCTTATGAAGGCCCCCTTTTTTCCATTCATTTTATTTCACTCTACCGCAACGTGCTCTGCAACGATGCTTGATCAAGATGTTTCCTTAAATAAAGAAGAAAAATTTGATATTTACATATATATGCACAGATAACTCCGATTTACAATTCTAGTCTTTCTCTTCGTCACAGCAGACAGTTATATGGAGAACCGGTGCTCCATACATCTTTCAAGATAATTTTAAAATATTGCAAAGTATCTTATAAGAAAATACAAAAACGACGTCTCTTGTACACAAGTAGCAGCGCCTTATTTGCCGATACAAAAATTTTTGAATATAATGTCTAGTATTTCATTAGTGCTGACGTGTCCCGTTATCCTTCCGAGTTCTCGCATCGCTTTGTGAATTTCCTCCGCCGCTATGGCCACGTCGTGTTGCTCGTTGGCGCACAACTCGAAGTAACTCCGCAGATGCCTCGAGCACTGCGCCAGGTGATTTCTGTGCCTCGCCTGACTGATGGTCGGGCTCTCCGCGGATGGATTGCCGCATCTAAACAAAATGTCATCATAACGTAATTGCGATTGCAAATAATGTCAACGATTGCCGTTTATCCTAACGTACATATTACTGAAGCGTTCCGTCAGCGATCGCAGCAAGTTCTGAAAGCCGTCCTCCGTTCTGCAAGATATCAGAACCACTTCAGCGCCGCGGAGGCGCCGTTCCTCCTCCTCCTTCAGCAAATCTTTTTTATTCGCTATTACGACAAAACGTTCTCTCCCAAGTTTCGCCAATAGTTCCTGCATCCCTAGCGACGACAGGTATTCGCGTATGTAGTCTTCGTACGTCATACCGCTAGTCGCGCACTTGAACGCGTCCACCACGACGATCACGAAATCGGCGTGCTCCGCGTGGCTCCTCGCCCGACGGACACCCTCGACTTCGACGATGTCCCCGGTGTCCTCCGTGATACCGGCGGTGTCCGCTATCAGCACGGGATAACCCGAGATGTTCGCGGTCAGCTCGATGACGTCCCTCGTGGTGCCGGCGATGGGGGTGACGATGGCTGCATTTCGCTGCACCAGACGATTCAGCAGGCTGCTCTTGCCCACGTTGGGCTCGCCGACAATCACGGTCCTCACGCCGTTGCGCAGGATTTCGCCCCGCCTGCCGTCGGCCAGGTGCTCCTCCAGATCCCGCATCAGCTGTCTGAGAGCGCGATGCGCGTTCTGCATCACGTCGCTCTCGATGTTGTCCTCCTCGCCGAAGTCGATGTACGCCTCGATACTCGCCACGGACTCCGCGAGCACCTTCCGCCAGCTATCGTACAGCTTGCGCAGGATACCGTCGGCCTGCAACAACGCCTGCTTCCTCTGACACTCGGTCTCGGCCTCTATCAGATCGGCCAGGCCCTCCACCTCCGTCAGGTCCAACTTGTTGTTGTAGAAGGCGCGTCTGGTGAACTCGCCCGGCTGCGCCGGATGCACCTGCAGCCTCGAGAGGGCTTGCATCAGCCGCGTCAGGATCGCCGGACCGCCGTGCACGTGAAACTCCACGGAGTCCTCGCCGGTGAACGAGTGCGGACCTGGAAACGGGGTGTTCTAATCAGACATAAATCTCGGAACGTCCCTGATGGGCGGTTTCTCTTTCATCGGTCGGTCACCGGTCGGTGCCTGGGTCTAGGAATCGTCCTCGGAAAGACATTTATGTATAACTTTCGAGGCAAATGTTGTTTTCAATGTATAAAAGTACTTATTATTTTAAATTTAGTTTAATTATAGTATATCTAAAGTTTAATTTTGAACGCGCACCGGGAAACCACAAGCAGAGCCCATTGTCGATGACCTCTCCCGTTTCCGGATCGCGTATTTTTCGCAGGAAGGCTCTCCTCGGTTCCAGCTTGGATATGCTCGTCATCTTCTTCAGCGCCTCCAGAGACCGGCTTCCCGATATTCTCACCACCGCCACGCCGCACTTCCCGTGACCTTAAAATGAAATTATAATAAAATTATTGTTATTGTTCTTATCTATGACGTGTTTCTCATGAATTTACATTAATTGTGCATCAATTATGTGATATTGTACAATACTATTCTAGCTTCAGTGTTTCAAGACCGGCGCGTGACTTATTGCCAAGCGAAAAATGTACATAAATTCACGCGAGTATTTAATTAAATATTATTAGACTGATTAGACACAATTAAAGATTCAGTTTCTATTTACTTGATATATTAATTAATATATTTAAGCGCCAAGAAAAATAGACTGCAAAAACAATTTTGCACACCGACGACGAATTGGTAAGTCGCCCCCAGGCTTAGCGTGGCGCCGTTTAGCGAGGCGTGCAAAAATCGAAGAAAAAAAGAAGAAGAAAGACTAATTCAGCGTCAATCGAACGCGTGTCGATTTGAAATGCAGATAATTCCATTACAATTGCAAATCGTTCCGCCGTTCGTTCGTTCGCGAACGAACAAAAGAAATCAACAATCGTCTGTATATTTTTTTAAATCTTATTTGATGTCCAATTTCTACCGATGTAAATTAAAATCTCAATTTAACTGATTTTTTACCTTTTTCTAGAATTAGAAAAGGTTTTTAAGAATTGGAAAAGGATAAAAAGTAAACTCTGAGATTAAAGTTATTATCTACATTGGTAGAAAATAAACGCGAGGGCAAACATGAAACCGATATGCGATGCGAAGCGGAGGGAGGGGAGAAGAGTGAAGACACGCGGGCTCGAGCGAGCGCGGCAATTCTTAACCTGTCGGGAAACTCGTCAAGAAAATCGCGAGAGTCGTGCCGAGACCCTTTTCCTCCCTCCTCCCCGTCGCCAGGTAAAGTTCGGGGATAACTGGGCATAACCACCGGAGGACAGGGCGCAGATGGTCGTGCCCCTGCGGTCGCTCGCGGGACAGCTGACGGCGACGTGGTAGCGCGATATCCCGCGCAACGCGACAACCCGCGCGTTTCGGGATGATTCACCGCGAACGAGGAGACAATCGCGAAGGAGCGTCGCAGGTGTCCGAGACAAGAACGGCCGCATAGCCAGGTATTATATTGTCGATCGTCGACGAGACGACGAGGAAACGGTGACGACCACGCGGTGAGACCAGACGAGACTGCCGGAAACGACCGACTGCCGCGGGGCAGACGCGGGGATCAGCTGGTTCAGCATTGCCGGAGGGTCGACGTCACGGTTGGAGGTAGCTAGGAACAAGCAACATTTTGGTTTTGAGTCTGCGAAATTCTTGTCGTCGATCGATCGGCACGATCGTCGTTTCACGTCGCGCCGCAGCGACCGATTTAAAAGTACAAATTTACAGGTAATTCGTTGTTTCTGAAATATATATGTGCATTTCCCGATTGACGAGACCTCGTTCCAGGTGAGCTAGAGATGGCTGATCTGGAGGCGAAGCTGACGGCGAGCAAGGTGGTGCTAGACAGATGCGGCAAATGGGTGGAATCGCAGAAGGATTGTTCCTATTCCGAGGAGGAGACCCTCAAGCGCAAGCTGGACGAGTTCGATTACGATGACTGGTGCAACACCGACTCGGAATTCGACTCCGTCTCCGAGTGCGGCGGGAAGAAGCGTAAGGTGGGAACGCAGCTGAAGGACGAGGTGCTGAATCTGGCCTGCGAGTGGAAGGAGTGCGCGTTTCGCAGCGGTTACATGGATCAATTCTTGAGGCACGTCTCGAACCACATCCCGAGCATCCAGATAAGCGTGAAGGACGACAACGAGGTCTACGTGTGTCAGTGGAAGGACTGTCCGTACGACACCAATGTGTCCGACGAGATAGTACGGCATGTTAATTATCACGCCTATCACACCAAGCTGAAGTGCATTGGTTCCAATGTTCGTGGAAGGACCAAGTTACCTGTAAGTAACGAGACCGATCGTCAAACCCGAATAGGTATCGGAAATTATAAAGATCATCGTGTTGTTTCGCGTTACAGAAATGCCACAGGGATCCAGAATGGAAGAACATCATAGATTCCCCGCCGCCACATCTGTGCAGGTGGGAAGAGTGCTTGAAGCCGTTCACGAATTACCAATTGTACCTGTATCACGTTATGGTGCACATGATGGATTGCCCGCGCGGCAACAGAGTCAAAGACGGGGTCGAGTGCAAGTGGACCGGATGCAGCGGCAAATATCCCAGCTTGTACAAGCTCCGAGATCACGTGAGATGCCATACCAAAGAGAAAATAGTCGCCTGCCCGGACTGCGGGGTCACGTTCGCCTCTAAAGCGAAATTTCACACGCATTGCCAGCGACAGATCCCCTTGGAATGTAATAAATTCATCGTGTATTCGAGATTTTCCGTATCCTTTTTTACGTGGTTCTTCTTAAACTCTCTAAAACGTGTCACGGATTTACAGTGCAAGGATTCCGTTGTTCGCATTGCAACAAGATTTATCCGACCGAAGGGATCTTGCGCGATCATATGAGATTCCACGTGTTCAATTACAAGTGTACCCTGTGCGACATGAGCTGCGAATCACCGGCGGCCTTGGCGAAACACGTCCGGTACCGTCACATATCGAGCCGAACGTATCCGTGCCAGTTGTGCTCGCACGCTGCCAAGTCGCAGCAGGATCTCGATTCTCACATGACTGTCCATACCAACGGACCGAATTTCTCCTGCCACTTTGAGGGATGCCTTTACACGTGCAAGGGAGCTTACACCTTGGACAGGTAATCACAAAAGATCTTCATTAATGATGTATTCTTTATTACTTTATTTGATAATAATTGTTCAATATAAATTGTTGAATATTACAGGCATTTAGAACGAGTACACAGTGTAATGATGCGATGGTACTGTTGCCACGAATGCCCAATTAAATACCGAAAGAGCTATAGCCTGACGAAGCATCTTATAGAAGCCCATCAGCTGCAATTGCCCAGCGGGCATAAACGTTTCCATTACACGCAGAACGAAGACGGGTGTTACAGGGTCCAGATGGTTCGATATGAGGCTGTGGACGAAGAGAACATGTCGCCCATCGAAGAGGTGATTTTACCGGACGTAAATTACAAAATAGAGCTGAAGCCAACTATCTCGTTAACGGAAGTGAAGGTGAGTGAAATCCACGGTAACTCAAGTTAACGTTATTTAAGACTTTTATTCTATTGGAGATCGTATTTATATAACGTTTGTTTCAGATTGTTAAGGCCGATGCGGAAGAAGAGGCGGAAGCCGTACAGGAGTCGCAAGAGGAAACGGCTGAGAGCGGCGCTGACGAGTCCGTACCTGTTGTACCTAACGGTTTGATATCTATCGATGAAATAGACGAGAAAGGGAATATTATAAAACAGATCGTCGTACAGGAAACGAAAGAGTTACCGCCGTCGGCGGAACCGCTGCTAATTTTAACGTAACTTCATATTTTTTTTTAGAGACTGGATGTGTTTGCTCGTATTTTTATATTATTATATACCGCGATTTTGCATTACATAGACCGTACCTTACGTTCATAGCTTCGATTGACTTTGTACAAAATGTGCGACGAAGATTTATTTTATCTTCCATCTTGGCGAAGTTTACTTTGGAAAAATTTACTGTGTGTTCGCCTATTTTAACGTTTTTAATTATTACGTTTTCAGAAATAATTTACAGAGCAAGAACTGTACAATGAAGTATGTCGTGTAACAAATTGAATGTTTATTTTTACAGAACATTTTATGTCAGAATATTATATTGCTTTCAATGTATCCAAAGAAAACGTTTGAAATATAAAATTAAGGTGTCCACAATCGTCTGCCTAATAATATTACGAAATGAAATCGTGTCGCCGCCGTAATGTGATACTTTTATAAAAATAATAAATTACCTGATGCTCTCGTAACGTTACATTTAGGGAAAAGTTCTATGTAAAAAAAGTGTAATTATCTTCTTTTGAATCCGTATTTCTTCCTCTCGTAGAAAAGATCCGTCTTGGAGCTTCCCAAGTTGACTATCTTGGGACAGCCGTCTCTCTGAAAGGCACCGTTTTGTTACATTCGATTTGCAGTGGAAATTTACAAGCGTACACGCGGACAATCGGCGGTATTCTTACGTCTTTTTCCTGTATCGTGCACTCTTTACAGTAGTACGCGTCCGACACGCCGGGACCGCCGCATATCACGCAACGTCCCTGATAGGAACCGTAATTGCACTCGTCGCATATCCTAACCAGGGTGCACGGCCTCACGTAGGAGTCACAGATGACGCATTTGCCGTCGCATTTCTCGCACAGCCGACCGATAGCTGAAAGAAGGAGTGTGGTTGACAGCCAAGTGTCTTTTGACAGACTGATCAGTCCATTTCTATCAATGTGGATTAATTTCAATCTCGGTTTGACTTACTTTCGATCTTTTTCTAATCTTAGAGCTAGAAAAGGATAAAAGTTAAGTTAAATTTGGATTAAAGTTGATCTACATTGGTAGAAGTAAACATGAGGCTGGACTTAACCTCAACTCACCGACTCCCGGTTGCTTGCGACAGAAGATCAAGTCCGGATGATGCTTGGCCATGCCTGCCGAATGTCGTTATTCGCTCTTGAAACGACCGAAGACTTGGAAGACGATTACATTGACGTCTAAACGATTGTCTAACGATTTCGACTCCGTTATGCAGACGGCAGAGAGAAGCCTATGGTGCACATTACCTACGGGATTCATGGATATTAGCTATTTAGTTCAATTTACACATTTTGTGGACATAGAGGCGCTGTCTTCTTACATCATGGCCGCTTCTATCTACCCCAGTCTGTGGACGTTTTCCGTTGTTTGAGGTTGTGTTGCCCGAGAGAGTTCTGTCCACGCCGAAATTGAGACTTTTTCGTCAGAAATGGCTGAGGCGATGCGTCAAACCGTGGCTGGGATGCTCAAAGGCATCGAGAGGTATCGCGTCCGTCACTTTTCCCTCATTTATTGTCGTACGAATGAATTTTCCGACGACACATGTGACGTGCTTCTCGCAGATGTGTTGCCGCGTGGGACTTGAACGCGAGCCTCATTATATTTCCTTAAATTTTATTAAGAGAATTATTTATTTTTTCTTCCGTACCACAGCGAAATGTGCTTTCAGATACAATCCGGACAACCTCACGACTTTAGAGAAGTACGTGGAGATACAATCGAGAGAGAACGCCTACGATCTGGAGGCGAATCTGGCTGTGTTGAAGCTCTACCAATTAAACCCGCACCGATTCAACATGGATATCGCGTGTCAGATACTGCTCAAGGCATTGACCAATCTACCCCACACCGATTTCGTGCTGTGCAAGTGTTTGCTCAGCGAAAAACTTGTGAGTCTCGTCGGAGGGGACGTGCAGGATAATTTTCTTCTTCATAAAAGTACATCTACATACAATTGCATTGATCTTTAGATGTCGGAGAGTCCCATTAGTCAAATCATGTACCTGGGAGATATCTTGGAACGATGCGACTTTCAGAATTTTTGGGACAGGGTGCTGTCCATGTCAGAGCTCTGCGAGAGGATTGTAGGTTTTCAGGATTCGATAAGAAAGTTCGTGTGTCACGTGGTGGGAATCACGTTTCAAACGATAGATAGGACCCTCCTGGCGCAGTTGCTCGGCGGTGTGGATGGTATGATATAAAAAAATTTTCTTGTTCTTAATTGTGCGACTGTAAAATTTATTGAGCTTCTTCCTTTACAGACGCAACGTTGAAACACTGGGTCAAGAAGTACGGTTGGAAAGAGGAAAATAAATCGATCATCTTCGTTGCGAATCAAGATGAGAACATCAAAACCAAGAACATCACTGAAAAGATTGATTTTGAGAACGTGGCAGGTTTGATGGCTGCTTGTCTGTAAAGATATATATTAGCGATTACTTTTAATAAAATTTACTACGAAATTATCACTATTATCATAGTCAATTAATTTATTCTGAGAAATTTTTCAACAAATTTTTTAACAAATTAATTATGAAGGATCTGCCCGCTACGTGTACAACCTTTTAGCGTCTGTTTTTATTAAAAAATGTATATGTCGTAATAAGAACTTGTTTCGTAACAATTTACGAAAGCTATTTTATTTTACAATGAACTTTACCATGTCTCAGATATGTTCTCCATATCATTTCTTTTCATTGTCTCGTCTCTTTCTACATCACTACGTTCTTCGTGGCATTTGACATGACTTTTGTCCGTATTATCTTCCTCAATTTCCACTAAATCTCCGCTACCAGATTCATCTACGGTGGTCGCATTAGGCTCCGTATTCTTTGCATCGTGAGCAGCGGATAAAGCGGCCTGCGTTTCTGCCGAAGTATCGTGCTTTAAAATTTCGCGCAGAGCCATTGTGGCATAACTGCTGGACTTCAAACACATTTCTATGATCAACGCTTTATTCTTTCCATCTGAAAATAGTATACGTTGCGATAATTATTTTTAAAACGAACGATTTCAAATAAACGTTAAAAAACAATTGATTTATACTTGGTTTATCTTGCGGAGATGTAGACTTCCTCATTTCGTCGATATCTGATAGAATTAGATCGTCGTGTTTATTTTCGTAATGCATAATCTTCCAAGATAGATTCGTCGGAATTTCTAATACATTTCTATAGGCCCCACTCAAGCTGTATTTTCTGGAAAAGAAAAAAAATAGATTGCTGATGACGGTAAAACAATTTATTGCAATGTTACGTCTGCGAGTAAACTCACTCACTTATTGTTTTGCTTAAGATCGGTAGTTAATCCATCCTTGGCTAAAAATTCGTCGAACCAAGCCTTCGCGTACGGCGGGTATGTAACTTTCCACCCGGGTTGAGGCATGACCACGTCTGCCAGAGTGTAATTTGACAGATCCTCTTCCGTGAGAATTTTCACTGCCGGAAAATTCTGCTCCGAATTCTCTTTACTCGCTTCGTTTGACGTGGAATCGATATCTTCTTTTTCTTCAATAGAAATATCAGTTTTGTCTCTCGTGTCATCGCTATTGTTCAAAGGATAATCCGTAGTTTCGTCACTTATAATCTCCTTGCAGTTCTGTTTATCGTAAACTAAATCACCCACGACCACATCTGTCCCAAACTGTTTCATTCTTCTCGACACGACGTGATTCCACGCGAAGCTTTGATAGGCATGAATATACATTAATCGAATGTTTCGAGGCACTGAGTCGAGCACGCCTAGAGGATTCTTGTCGCCCGATACTTGTAGACCTTTCAGAAGTCTGGCTTCGATCGTATCGATTCTCTTGAGCTTGGCATAGGCAGCACGTGCGTCCTTGGTTTTCGCGTAGATCTGTCTAGCCTCCGCCAATTCCTTATCTTGTTCCGGCCGCGGTTTCAAGATCAATTCAATCGCTTCGTCCCATTTACCTAATCGGTAGAAGATAGTGTAACATATACATGAATGAAACAAATGCTGCGCGATACAACGGAAAACAATAATAATCACCCTGGAGTAGACACTTTCCGATTTCGTGCGTGGGTATAGCGGACACCGAGCCAAATCTTTGTAAACCGTAATAATTAATGAAGCCATTGTCACGCAACGACGTCATCGCTCGCTCGATCTTCTCGTCCGTCTCGCAGGCGCTTCTCAGCGCGATCCTAAATCGATTGCCGCGCAGCATCCCCAATTTCAGGCTGTCTTTAGCGTATTTGAAGTTCCCTACGTATGCGCCGCGTATACTTTTACTCGCTCTCAATATGTTGCGCGGGTCCACCTTCTTCAAACTCATCCACTGGGTCGTCCACGCTCGGCGGTCCTTGGTGCCGGCGTAACAAAGATTATTCGGCTGCAGCCGCAGGTTCGCCGCCAGCTGATTAACGACGCTTATCGTATCCATGTTCACTTTGTGCAACAGAAAGTGACAGTAATCCCCGCCGCATCTGCTCCAATCTATCCTCCTATCTCTGCGCATCTTGTAAACTGATTGTAACAATCAAAAATTAGATAGAAGCCCTTCTTTTTGCAAGTGAGAAATTTACAACCTACCAGTCTGATCGCCTTTATTTGACACTGGCACAATTGTGATGAACTTTTTATCGTCTCTGTCTACCGTCTGGCTGACAACGTCTGCCAGTTTCTTCGCGATCGTATGAATGGTCCTGCGCGCGACCTTATCGACGCCAGTTACGTCGATCTCCACACTCGAAGGATTTTCCTCTCCCAGACCCCGCAGTTGTTCCCATATCGCCGGCGACACCGACGTCTTCAGATCCTCGATACTCTCGTCGTCGCAGGGATCACGTGGAACGTCTTGACTGGTCAGCTTGGCCACTTGTCCGTCGAGGCCTATCTCGTTGACGTGAAAGTCGGTGTACCTCTCTTTGATTATTGCAAAGAAGCCGGGGTGCTGCTGGCCGATGTACTCCGTAATTCCTATGTCAGACTCCTTCAGCCTACTGCCGACATCCAGTCTGCTCCTCTTCGCGTTTTCTCGCGGCGATCGGTCGAACGCGCGTTTGAAGCCCCTCCCGCCGGACTTGTTCTGGCAGCCACCTGCAGGGAAATAATTATCTCTCAATGAAAGCGCCTTTAACGAAATATGCTCGTTATCAAAGTAAGCAAAATTACCTCTCCGCCTTGTCCAGCCGGCACGGGCGGCACGGCGATTCCCGTCATTTTTAGCGGCACCTGTGGCCGCAAAAGCAGCATTGTCGGTGGGCATCGCGTTCGGCGAACGCGATAATCGCAGGATCACTCGACGACGATCGTCCGCAGTCGGCTTTTACAAATATCAAGTAAATTATGTTCGTTGATTGTCAGGAAAATGGGTCAACCGCGAGACATACGGGACATTACGGGTTCATAACATAACCACGTGTCCGCTGTCGTGTCGGTGCCATCTTCTGGAACAGCCGTGAACTACGAACTTGGTATTTTTGCGTTGCTTCTAGTGATTTTTATTAGCCTGACTCGTCCTGCTTGTAATTTCTGTAAATTGACCGCCCGATCCTTGACACTCTGTGGTAAACACACAAAATTGCTTGACTGACGTTTTCGTTGTCGCGCAGGAATTGTTATTTTACTTCCTACAGTTTTTAACGACACTAAAGGTGAGTGTCTTACTTTTTTTTTAGAAAACAACTTGATTGTTTTAAATATATTTCTCCAAGATCTTGCTGATTATAACCTGGTGCAGGAAAAGAGCCAGCCAGCCAGCCAAGATGCCAGAAACGGAGGAGGAGGTGAGCATGTCGGTTCGCTTGACGAACGATGATTTCCGGAAGCTCCTGATGACCCCGAGGGCGTCAGTGCCCTCGGCCACTCCGGCCTCCGTGCCCGGTACGGCGAGGGATGCCAGCGCGAAGACCGCTCAGACCCCCCAGGTCAGCGGGGGCAGCCGGGCGGAGCTGCGCAGGAAGAAGAAGAGCTTCTACGCGAAGCTGAAGAAGCAGGAGGAGGATAAGATGGCCGAGCTAGCGGAGAAGTACAGGGATCGCGCGAGGGAGCGTAGGGACGGCACCAATCAGGATTACCAAGCGGAGGATCCTATGAACAATGCCAGCGCTTATCGAGCCGTCGCGCCGGATGTCAAGTCCGGCATGGATGCTGCGGAGCGCAGGAGACAGATGATTCAACAGTCCAAATTCTTGGGTGGTGACATGGAGCACACTCACTTGGTCAAAGGCTTGGATTACGCCCTTCTGCAAAAAGTATGATGCCTTCAGGATGTATTAAAGCCTTAACAAAAAAACGATGTAATGAAAGTTATAATGAAACTTAATTGTTACATTTTGATGACAAGAAAACTTTAGCTTATCGCTTATCCTGAGAATAGTTTAGATTACAGTAATTTGATTGCAATAAAATACAACTTATACAAGATGCAGATAATGCATTGTATTTCAATCCTAAATTTTTTATTTTCACGTTCAATATGACTAATGTAATGTCGCTTTACAGGTACGCAGTGAGATCGAAGCGAAAGAACACGAACAGGAGCAGGAGTTGGAAAAGCTGGTGAAGCCGAAGGAGGTGAAGTCGAAGAAGGAGCCACTTCCAGAGAAGAAGGACGACGAGATGCAATTCAAGACTAAGATCGGTCGGAACGTGTACAAAACCATCATGACTATGAAATCCAAGCAGATCGAAAGAAACGAGCTTTTCACGCCGGGTCGCATGGCGTATGTGATCGAGCTGGATGACGAAAATGCCGACGTCGACATACCGACGACGCTGATCAGAAGCAAGGCGGACGTGCCGACGATCGACAACATGCCGACTCTCACGACTAACGATATTGTGATCAACAAACTGGCGCAGATACTGTCGTACTTGCGCCAGGGTAGCCGTCACAGCAAGAAGGGCAAGAAGCTGAAGGATGGACGCGGTCGCGGCGACGAGCTGAACGACGTAGATATCCAACCACGACCGCCCGCCGCCGACGACAGCATTTACGGCGATATTGGCGACTATGTGCCGACGGTGACGAGTAAGAAGGACGCGCAGCAGCGCGAGAAGAAGAAAAGCTCATATTTCGATAAACCCGAGTCGAATTTGGACACTGACGACAAGGCGAATGCGCCCCAATTGCCCAACGTTTTGCCGAATGTGGTAGCCGCCGCTGTAGCCGCCGCCGCGGATGGCAACGCGCCGAAGAAGGGTGCGTTGCTGAACAAACTCGCGGCCGAGCCGGAAGGATACGCCGAGTGTTATCCAGGCTTAGACGAGATGCAAGACGCCATCGACGACTCGGACGATGAGGTGGATTACACGAAGATGGACCTGGGTAACAAGAAGGGCCCGATTGGTCGTTGGGACTTCGACACGCCCGAGGAATACAGCGAATATATGAACAACAAGGAGGCGCTACCGAAGGCAGCCTTCCAGTACGGCGTAAAGATGGCCGATGGCAGGCGCACCAGGAAGTACAATAAGGAGAAGAACGAGAAGGCGGAGCTCGATCGCGAGTGGCAAAAGATCCAGAACATTATGAACAAGAGAAAACCGACGACAGCGATCGACGGCGCATCCGAATTCAAAGTACCGCGATATTGAACGACTCGACTTGCGAATCTGTTTCGATTTATCGCATGGATGAGGAGGTCTAAAGAATTTAAAACTGAATCATCTCTTGAATCGTTAGGTACGTGTTAGACGTGAAGAAAAATCGCTTTATCGACAAAAGTAAATTTTCTTTTCTGTATAGATACAATAAAATTTCTTCGCGATTTTTGAAATTGTATCCTTATCGCGATATATTTTTTAGTAGCATAAAATTATATTAAATAAATAAGTTATATTAGCTATATATATAAAGTGGTCCAAAGGGAACCAACTTGAATAAGAAAATTGTATATGTTGTATCATAGACACATGAATCTAATACAATCTGAAATTAATCTATTTTACGCAATAATCTGTTTTGCGAGATATTTTTCCTCAATAGCATTTGCATAGCATTTTTAGCCGATATGTAATATATTGCACCTACTATATGTTTTTTTCGAATGCGTTACTCATTTCACTTTTCAATTATGAAAAGCTTGTATCTTCGCGTTATATTTTAATTAATAAATTAATTTAGAAGCGACACACAAAGTAATAAAATTAATTTAATAATAAAATTTGAAGACACAGATTTTTATTGGTTACGGAAGAGATGTGTCTACGCTGGCCCTGAAAATGTATTTGTTCGAGGAAATTCATTTGGCTTATCCGAAAGAGAGTGCGATTCTTTTCAAGATGCATAATTTAGACGGTTTTTCATGGAACGAGGACGCAGTTAGATGACTGATGTAACAGGGTTACGGCGCGATGACCGTTTCTGTGGCATTACGAATGCGTAAATCAGATAATGCTAAACGCGCATTTTACTCTCGTATGATTCTGCGATAAAGATCGTCACCTCGCCGCGGAGAGTGACCCGAAACCGACTCGCGCCGGTTTCCCGGTCGGGATTCCCAGTATAAAAACAAATTTATCAGCGAGACTTTTTACTCACTTGTGACCTAACGAAACCGGCGAATCATTTCCTCTTAACTGGAGCAAACCGGTTTACGCTCGCGTCCCGCGACCCCCGCGTCGATTAGAATTAGAAAGTCATTGGCGTCATTAAAAAAAGAAAAAAAAATATCTGGCCAATTCTCCGATGTTGCATATATTTGACGTGAATAAACTTATAAAACCGATATCAATGTTTGCCTAAGAAAAGACTTACGTTGCAAATATCCTTTTTGCAAATTCATTTCAGATTGAGATCAATCCGGTAAAGAGGAGATCTGGTAAAGAGAAAAAAAATTACGTTAAGATACCATCTTGTATCATGATAAGAGAAAAAAAACAGACGTATAAAAATAATACATTATTAGTCTTTTATTTTTTGTTCTTTACATTTTTCTTTTTTTACACTTTTTTCCCTTTCTTTTTATCTTTTATCTTTTTTTCTCATACCGTTGCCAAAAATGCCAAGTACTAAAACAGGATGTGTTTCATCGTTATCTAACTTGTAACAATAATCATTATGATCTCGCGTACAATCTTATCCTGCGATAATTATCAACTTCTGAATTCGTTAATTAAACATTTAACTTGGTAATCACGACGGAAAAAGTCACTCAAATGTAATCTTGGTGTCGCATGCCTTTGTATATATCAGTCCCCCGCGACATCCGGAGATAATCCGAGGATGACTCGAGGAGATCAATGGAAGGTTCAGTGAATTCTGATCTTGACCCTCGTTTGAGAGTGTATGACAGCCGATAACGATATGAAGATATCTCTCGTCTACGTTATATAAACGCCGCTTTTACCCGGGTGCTCGCGCAGTCCAGGCGAGGAACCGATTTCGATCGTCGAGCAAGTTTCGCTCGAGACTGCAATCAGTGAGGAAAGTGAAGGTTGGCCACGTGGACATATCGCGCGATACTCTCGCGATCCTGCAACCGATGCTGGGTCTCAGAAATCTCATCTTGCGGCGCAACTTCGTCTTGGATACCGTAAGCAGAGTGAATCCGGACGCGTTTCATTACGAAATTCGGAGAAAAGAGGGGGAAAAAATCTGATCACCGCGTGGACATGTTCGAGAGACGCGGATTTCTCTATCGGATTAATTACCTCGTCGTGATTACTAGAACAACACGCTTTTGCTAACACGTTAAATATTACGGCAATCGCATTGATGTAACATAAATTGTTAAGTGTAACGTATACGTTGTCACAAAAAATACGATTATATAAATTAAACGTTGAAAGAAGTCATGCGGGGTTCACTAATTAAGTGACGTAATTAAATGCACATTTATTTGTGCAATTAGTCAATTTGCAATGTACATAATTATTTTATTATCCGGTATATTTGTAAAGTGCACAAATTCTGTCTTTTTACCATAATAAGCCGTATTACAGGCGCTGTTAGCGGGAGACGCGTTCCCCCTAATATATATACGCAAATATAATGATAATTTCGAGTAAATTAGTGTTTATATACGTAACTTGAAAACCTTAACAAGTTAAATTTTAAACTGTACTTCTTTTTTTTTATTTATGTATATTTGGTATATTAATTTATATATTATAACAATAATTAATTAATATATCCCTTTTTATGTGTATGCGGTATATAATTGATGGTGACGGTGTGTGCGTGATAATAATTGAGACTTCGGTGATACGTTCTGTAAATAAACTTTGTAAATGATATTTGCAGTGTGCTTAAAAACTGTTACTGGTGTTGGACTAACCTTGGATTATTATAGGTATGTCGATTAAATATTATTTAATTAATATATTTACAAATAAATGTATGAAATTTACAGCGTTTTATATTAACATATTTACTGTTGAGAGGCGTCTGTCGAAAAATTAACTTTTTCTGTAGCATAGATAATAGATAATATAAATCAAATAATGAACCGCATTCCAAGATATCGATAATATAAAAACCTAAACATATAATAAATACAAAAGTACAGGGAATAGGACCAATGGGAAGCAATACAGGAACAGCAAGACAAACAGAAATAACGATAGATATGTCAACTTATAAGATACTTTTTCTTCGCCAGTGAGTTTGTTCGATTTCAAGTTATGATAAAACTGACTCACTGTGCACACTAAAAAATAAAATGTTAATCGTAACATTTTTCAAATGTCCCAGAAAGTCCACTCTAAATTTTGAGTTAAAATAACTCATTCATCGTGTGTTACTTGTTGACAAATTAGAAATGTTAATTTATTGACACATTTATTTTATATTTATATTTGTTCTTTTAACTTTAAGTATAATGTAAAAATAACTTGTAAAAAATGTCGATATAACATATTTGAATAAACGATAGTTATTTCAACTTAAGAGAAATGTTGTTTTGAACATTTGATTGTAGTAAATTTGATTATTTTGTATGTCGAAGTTTACGATTATTTGTTTATGTTAAAATAACTTTAAGGCGTGTTGATTTTTTGAAATAATTATGTTAAAAGAACTCAAAATAATATTCAATTTCTAAATGACATACATAAAGTGTTAAGTTATCACGTTGACATTAATATAACACATAAAAATGTTACGAAAATAATAACATAGCTGTTGTATGTTAATTTTAATTGAGATAATAGTCAAATCTTGGTAACACAAGAAAATTTTAACATTTGGACGCACGATATTTTTTACTGTGTGATCAGATGTGATTGATCAGATACAGGCAATAGAGAATATTATAGAACTCTGACGCGTCGGAAATTCTGTTCCTATTGCCTATTTCCTATATTTCATTGCGTTGATACAGTTTTTGATAAGTTGAAATGTAGTTATTTCTGTTGCCTGGCTCATTCCTTATTGTTCCTATTGCCTGTACCTGTGTATCGTGTGTTTAGACTTTAAAGTGTGCAATCCATTAATAGCAGGATGTATAAGTGTATTCAGTGGTGACGGTTCTCAATATGTGATTAATTCTCACTTAAGAGCTCGATATAATTTTCAACGAAAATTTTGGGAGTGAAAATATGTAGAAATTAATAAAGAAAATCTTTCACAAATAAAAATCGCAGTCGACGATGGCGCAGCTCAAAGTGGCTATCATCGGACAGAGTCCATTCGCGGCGGAAGTCTACAAGCTTTTGCGACAGAATGGACATCAGGTGACCGGAGTGTTCACGATCCCGGATAAGGGAAACCGCGAAGATCCTCTAGGTACAAGAGTCATTTTGATTAAAAATACCGATCTTATTACGATTATCGCGGTCCTTACGATCGCAGGATGAATTACCTCGGGATCATTCATTGGTGTTCTCGCATCTTCGAGATCGTTGATTCTGAGAATGAAACAAAATACGCGGCGAACGCTTCGGGACATTCAATGGATGGTCCTGCGATCTGTATTCCTCTTCGTTATCGCCGCTTTTCGACCGCAGCGACCACCGCCAAGGCCGACAACACGCCGGTTTTCAAGATCAAGGCTTGGAGGAGCAAGGGAGTGGCCTTGCCGGAAATCCTGGAGCTGTACAAGGGCATCGAGGTGGATCTCAACGTCCTTCCCTTCTGCAGCCAGTACATTCCTATGGAGGTCATTAATCATCCCCCTCACCGTAGCATATGCTATCATCCGTCCATATTGCCCAGGCACAGAGGAGCGAGCGCCATAAGCTGGTGAGGCTCATCTTTACTTCGATCTACGCATCTTCCGATTCTCTCGGAAATTTTCCAGAATATTTTTATGGATGGCGATTTTCGGAATAGGATATTTTATCGAAGTCAACCCTGGTGGAAAAATGTCTTTCAAAATTCTTCATATTATCATAAATCAGAATTTCCGTCACATTTAACCGCCGAAAGATCTTGAATCTAAAGTAAAAAATAACGAGATCGAAAAACAGGGAAAAACGTTAGTTTGGAAAACATAAATATAAATAACGGTAAGCGGGAACGGTAAAATCAAGACACAAACAATATTCGACACTGCGACTCGCTAGGGTATACTAGATACGTATCCGCGTGAACTGTAAAAATTTAGAAAATATTTTTGATTAAACTATGAAAAATTTAAGATTTTCTCAAAATTTTTCAGACTTTTTATACAAATTGGAATATTTTTCAGAAAAATTTAGACAAAATAATAATAAAATATTTCAAATTTTTCCTGTCAACACATTTTTGTAGAAATCTGAATAAATATAACAGAAAATCCGCGCAATTTATTAGAATTTTTCATAAATCTAATACATGAGAAATTCTTAGAAAATTTCTGAGAAAATATGAGAAATTTTTTCAATTAAATTCTTAAAAGAGATTATATTAATATGTATAATACTTCTACGATTACAGCTAATTTACTTGTTACTTATTTTACGATCTAGCTCGCTGCTAATCGCGACAAGTCAGTCAGGCCGCGGTATCATGTCTCTCTCTTTCTCTCGATATCGGCGCGCCGCAACAACCGGTTTGCCGTGGTTTTCGCGTTCCAGATTGCGAGGCGAGACTACTTTCTCGCTAAAAGCGCCGATAATGACAACGATAATAAGCGGGTCACGAGCCCGTCATATGATTCCTTATTCGATCGAATGACTATGCGCGTTCGCATGTCGTCGCGTATATCGCGCGCGTTTTATTACACTTTTGATGACCTTTATGATTCGATATATTGCTGTACCGCACATTTTCGGCGCGTTATACTGGCGTCTCGTAGCTAATAATCTTTCTCGCCAGTTGAGATTTCTTCGACGGATTGCAAAAATTATACGTTTCTTAAATCAACTCTGATGTTTTCGTTTTCTTTACTTTACTATATTATAATGATAGAAATTATATTATTAGGTATAAATTAGCATGTTTCTTATACATAGTTCAGTTTGCTTACATGTAAATTAATGTAATTATTATTAACTTTTTTTGAGATCTGGTTATTATAGTTAGTCGCTGAAAAGGATAAAGTTCGAATGAAATACAAGACATTTCAAAATTTCTTACTAAAGAAAACGTGATATATAAGGAAATAAAAAGTAAGAAAAAATAAAATTTTTCCTCGACAAAAGCAAACACCCCGTAATATTCTATTCGAATAATAATGGTCGCGTTCAGCACAAGCCGCTCAGTAGCAGTCGAACGTGATTGGCTCTTACTTTTAGAACCAACCAATTAACGCAGAGTGATGATAAGACGTACACCTGCGATGTTTGCAAGTAAAAATTTACAAACATGTTAACTTTATGACAGATGTTTTTATTTTATAATATATTATTATAATATAACATATAACAGAAATTTTAAATTTAGCTTTTAGATAACAGCTTATACGTTAATTTATGTTTACAATATTAAACGGATTTCATATTATGAGTAGCAAGTTTATGTTATTATGAATGCATATTATTATATAAAAAAAAGTTTTTAACGTGCTGCAATCTACCATTTTCAGGACCTTGATCCAAGGAGACGATACCGCAGGATTCTCGATTTTCTGGGCAGACGATGGCCTGGACACCGGGCCGATTCTCCTCCAGAAATCCTGCAGAGTGGAGCCGAATGATACGGTGGACAGCCTGTACAACAATTTCCTCTATCCGGAGGGTATTAAGGCCATGGGTGAGGCGGTGGATCTCGTCGCCAAGGGAACCGCGCCTAAGGTACCGCAACCGGCGGAGGGTGCGACGTACGACCCCCTGCTGAACAAGAAGGAACTCCAGAAGATCGACTTGACTAAGCCGGCTAAGGAAATTCACGATTTTATTCGTGGTCTGGACAGTACACCTGGAGCCTGGACGATACTGGACGGCCTGGACGGTAATGGACGTCAGGAAGTGCGTCTTTTCGGATCATCTTTGTGGAACGATAAGAAACCGAAAGTCGAGAAAATAGTCGACCTCGTGGAGCGAAAAGGAATCGTTCATCAGGGCGGTTTGCTGATCGAGGCCGTCGACGGGCGATTCGTTAATGTGGAGAGAATCAAAATCGGGACCAAGACCATTCTCGCCAGCAAATACGGACAGACTGACGACAGCCAGGCCGTGGAGTTCACGGAAGAGGAGCTGCAGACTGCCGACGGTCTGCGTCGGATCTGGGCGGACATACTTAAAATCGACGTCGACGACGACACGGATTTCTTTGCTTCCGGTAAGCTTCAATATTTCTGAAAAATCTCACCCAAATTTATGCATTTAAACTTGAATAGAAATCTCTAATCATTGAATAGCTTGAGCTAAATATATACATTTGTTAAATATGTTACGTTAAAATATTGAAGATGTATATAATTATAATAAATTTAAATTTTTAATTTCTTGTTCGCCATTATCATTACTTTTTTAATAGATTAATTGTACAAGAAGTGATACTCGAACTAGTCCTGCGAAATTTTTGTCTTAGGCGGTGGCAGCATGGACGTGGTGCGACTAGTCGAGGAAGTCAAGGACAACTTTGGTGTTAGCCTGCAGAACAGCGACGTCTTCATGGCACCGGTCTTCAAGGAGTTCGTCACGACGGTCGTACTTACCGCTCGGGGAAATCTAGCCGCAAATGAGATCAAGTATGACGCGGTGGAGGTGCAGGCAAATAACATGACCCTAAGATTCCCCAGGCAGCTCTTCATCAACGGCCAGTTTGTTAACGGCCACGGTAATCCTGTCAATACGATAAATCCTCACGATGAAAGCGTGATCTGCTCGGTGGAAAGCGCGAACGCCGAGGATGTCGATCTGGCCGTCAGGGCCGCTAAAAAAGCCTTCGAGGAGGGTGAATGGGGCAAAATCAGCGCCAGGGAACGTGGAGCGTTGTTGTTCAGGTAGAAGATTCGAATAATCATTTTTTTTATTTATCATCGTCACACGTCAGACTTTTTTAAATAAATTGATTAGACGAAAGGCAAAGGTCGAATTAACTCTGCGAGATGTAAAAGAATAAAACAGATTAATTTTTTATATAAGTTTCTTGATTCCCGATGGAATTAACGAAGATTCGTTTCCAATTCTCTAACGTTTTTTTTTTTTTAATTGTTTTCCAGGTTGGCGGATTTAATGGAGGAACACAAGGAAGAACTGGCTACTCTGGAGACTCTCGACTCCGGCGCGGTCTATACTCTCGCTCTGAAAACCCACGTAGGTATGTCCATCGAGACCTGGCGCTACTTCGCCGGTTGGTGCGACAAGATCCAAGGTTCAACTATACCCATCTCGCACGCGCGTCCAAACAAGAATCTCACGTTCACACGACGCGAACCGATCGGCGTTTGCGGTCTGGTCACCCCCTGGAACTATCCCCTTATGATGTTGTCGTGGAAGATGGCGGCCTGTCTAGCGGCCGGCAATACCGTGGTGATGAAGCCGGCCCAGGCGTCGCCTCTAACAGCCCTGAAATTCGCCGAGCTGTCCGCGCGCGCTGGAATTCCACCCGGTGTCATCAACATCGTCTGCGGAGTCGGCAGTGCTGTCGGAAACGCCATAGTGGGGCATCCGTTGATCAGAAAGCTGGGCTTCACCGGCTCCACGCAGGTCGGCCAGACCATCATGAGATGCTGCGCCGACAGTAATCTGAAGAAAGTGTCGTTGGAGCTTGGCGGTAAAAGTCCCCTCGTCATCTTCGAGGACGCCGACTTGCAGCAGGCGGTCAGGGTCGGTATGGGCAGCGTGTTCTTCAATAAGGGCGAAAACTGCATCGCTGCCGGTAAGACACTTGTTTCTTTTGCCTCGGAGTTAAAGCGGTGGTTTTTTTTAATAATCAATCTCAGAAACTTCGTTTGTTTTACCTTCCATAAATTAATAATACGATAGGCTTTAATGTTCTAACGATATATAAACGATATAATTAAATTGTCTATTATTTAATCATTCTTTTCCGTTCTCAAGGACGACTTTTCGTCGAGGAAACTATCCATGACGAGTTCGTGAGACGTGTGATCGACGAGGTAAAGAAGATCACCATCGGCAATCCATTGGACAGGAGCACGGCTCACGGACCGCAGAATCACAAGGCTCATCTGGACAAACTTCTTGAGTTCGTGCAGAAGGGAGTCGAGGAGGGTGCCAAGTTGGTCTACGGCGGCAAGAGGTTGAATCGTCCCGGCTGGTACTTTGAACCGACCGTGTTCACGGACGTCGAGGACAACATGTACATCGCCAAGGAAGAATCTTTCGGTCCGGTCATGGTGATCTCTAAATTCAGCTCGAAGAACGTCGATCAGGTGATCGGGCGGGCGAACGACACCGAATTCGGCCTGGCCTCGGGAATCCTCACCAAAGACATCGGCAGAGCACTCAGGTTCGCGGAGAGAATCGAGGCCGGCACTGTGTTCATCAACACGTACAACAAGACAGACGTAGCGGCACCGTTCGGCGGCTTCAAGATGTCTGGATTTGGCAAGGATTTGGGGCAGGAGGCCCTCAACGAGTATCTCAAGACGAAGACGGTCACCATCGAGTACTAACGATCATTATCCGAGAACGTTTGTAATACACGATAATCACGGATGTGCGTAATGATGCGTGTCGTCGGAATTTGTTCGACGAAGCGATTTATGTCGAGCCTTGTCAAAAATATCCTGTTATACGTGATATTGTATCTTACATCTTGCAATATCTCTTTAACAAAACTGAACGAGTCTTTAAGTTTTTAAGTTTAAAGATAAGAACATATGCGTTTGCGCGTCGCATTAATTCGTTACCTTTTTTCACATGTCGATTATTTATAGAAATAAATATGTAAGTTGTTCCTAACCATTTTTTTCCACCTCTAATGAGATTCATTGACGACTCAAAGTATAAATAAGCTTCTTCGCCTCGTCAATTTTTATATGATAAAATTTTTTAAACCTCGTGATACGTCAACGATGTGTGAGGTAACTCGAGAATGATCGTTCGCGCATACTGTTGCAATTGTCGAAAAAGAAAATTACTCGAAGACGTGGGAAAACATGTCTCGAGGCAACGAAACGAGAGGACGAAACGAGACCTTTACGGAGTTAACGAAGGGAGAACGTGGATCTCGCTCCCACGCGTACAGGGTGTACAAATAGTTTTTACAGCGGATCGCCTTCTATCCTGGAGTTCCAGATGTTGCATGATTTTTTGTCCTAGGCCACACTTGTGTGCCCCATCGCCCGCGCGTTGCGTAGCTCATTCGCGGCTGTTCCTCGTGTTTCATCTCGCTCATCGTCTCTCCGACCGACCAATCGCAAACGGTCACCCTATTTTCAAGACGAAACGGGAGAGACCACTAGGAAGAAACTGATGCAAGTGACTTTTTTCGAAGATGAACCAAGATATTTTTGAGAGCTGGATTTTGTGATAATTAGAATTATCAGATCGATGACAAATTGTTAGTTATTTATTAAATTATTAATAATCCCTTTTTTATCAGCTTCTCTTTTATCAGTTATTTTCTAAAGTCTATTCAAGTCTATTGGAAAGATGAGTAACTTTGTTAAGTATCTATCTAATAAAAGGCGGAAATCGAGAGCGAGAGGGAGAGACAGAGAAAAATTTGCGACAATAAAAAATAATTACATAAACGAAAGAAACCTCTATAAATAAAAAAAAAAAACAAATAAGCGTGACAAATTTTTGTCGATTTCACGCAGAAAATCCCTGAGACGATTGGAAGCGTAAATGTGTTACGATGTATAACAGTTCCCGGAGGTCAGCAGGGAGGCCCGCTGTTCCCTCTTTGTTTGCGAGCAGGCATTGTACCCCCGTATGAGTCATCGGGGAACGGTTCGAACACGGGCGGATACAACGCGGGCGCGACGCGTATTGCATATACCTGAGCTCGGCCTGTGTGAAAGGGCCCGCTGTTGAATATATATTCCCCCTGTGTAGGTGCGCACGGTCAACAACCCAGTCGACGAACAGCTGTTCTACTAAGTATATCCCTGCACCCCTGCCTTCCCTCGGCCGCCGTTTCTTACGTCTTTACCCCGAAGACTCAGCCACCCTTCGCATCTCGGGCCTCGGGCCCTCCGTCTGGCAAACGAAGGCTCTCTTTGTATAGGAAGTTCACGCGTTGTTGTATTATACTTTCTAGTGAAGAACAGTCGAGCTTCCCTTGAGATTCCTCGAACACGCGAAGACAGAAGTGTTAATTTCTCACTGGGATCTGTTCGATAAGAGAAAAGGGAGAAATTATACATTATACTGGTCTCAATTTTCGATTTTATAACTTTGGAATTTGACTCTCCGCTTAGATTTAAATTTCGATAAATGAAATAAAGGATGAAATAATTTTTCTACTTTGAGAAGGAAGACACATGTATGTGCGGTTAGAGAGATTAATTCTGGCGAGTTTAAATCTTATAGACGAGCTCGAGAGTAAAGGGTTCTAGATATGACGGGCTCGATACTTCGGGCCCAATTTCGAGTACGCGCGGGGGCCTAATTCGAAAGCGTGCGCGACCGGCACGGCTCGGAATTATTCATCGTAGACAGGAAATGCAAATTCCATCGTGTCCCCTCGTGCCATAGGACAGTGCTCTTTGACCTTACTTCATATCTCTTCCACTAGCGAGAATTCTCGCCTTTACGAAAATTTTATCTTCGACCGTTTTCATTTGAGGCTTCCTCGTATAACGCACGTAAATAGCACAAAGAAATATAATAATAACATAAATGTATATATTTACATAATATATACGCATATTTGTATAATTTATTTTTAAATTCAGTTCCAGGTACGTATGTTAATCCTCCATATGTTACTTTCTTACTCCAGAAATAGGAAACGTGTGACTTCAAAAATTACTTATGTGTTAAATTTATATAATAATCGATAAAATTCGAACAACAGATTTTAAGAATACAATGCTGTGTTAGGAATCGTTTTACCTCTGCGCTTTTATGACACATATACATAAATACATATATCAATAGCATACAATATGTTAAATATTAAAGCATGAAATTTAAACCAATACCTTGATTTAAATAACATTTTGTTATTTTTAACACATATGTTGTGTATCGAAATTGATTATTTTAACGTAAAACAGTATTATTTTAACTCTATTGGTTTTTTAGTTAACTTAATGATGAATATCGACATATTTTTTTTAATAGGAGCAGTGTGGCGATCTATATATAGATATAAAAAATGACTCAAATTGAGTATAATTTAACATTGCAGATATTTAACAGTGTAGATATATATTTTTTACATTAAAAAAAAATTCTAAAACTCCACGATATGCAATAACGCGCAGTACGTGCAAAAATAAAATTGTTTTATTTCGCTCGTTTCCAATTTCGACACATTTTTTTTACCTCGAAATTCTATTTCAGAGGTCGTGAGTCGTGATATGCGACCTCGCATATTTCATGTTGCAATTCACACAGTTGAAAAAAGACCCTCGCTTGGACCCCTTGCCCGAAGGGGGGGCCCACAAAAATTCTCGAAGCTGTGCCCACGGGCACCACGTGTGCGCCCGCTGTCTCTCTCTCTCTCTCTCTCTTTTCTTTCTCTTTCTCCCTTCTTCGCACTCTCCCGGCGGCGGCGACCCGGTTCCCTTTCCGCTCGCGCGCGCTTCGCTCGTGCGGATTCCGCTCGCAATCAGTCGTCATCGGGATGCCGCCTGTAACAGTTGTGCGTGGCGTCGCGGAACGAAAAGCGTTACCGATATGTAACGTGCTATTATCGTCGCCGGCAAGGAAAAAAAAAACGCGATTTCCCGCGAGTATCGCGCCGGGCGGAAACGAGTATCTTCCTCCCGCGGGACGCACGTGCTTCACGTACTGGGTGTCGCGCGTTACGAGCAACGCGCGTGTTGATGCTAGGGCGAGCCTTCGGCGACGGGAAGTGCCTGCTTTCCCCCTCTAAATAACGTTACAAACATCCGATATATTTTTCTTTCCAATTTTGTTGTAACTCTGCTCTTTTGTTGTAGTTCGGATTTCCCTTTACAGCTCAAAGTGTGCACGAATTGCGCTCCATTTTTGTATTTGTGTGGTCTCTCCCTCTTCGCACGATTTCTAGTTGACTTGTATCTATCACAGGAATTTCGTGTAATTCGTTTTTTTTGCAAAATTTTTCGAGAATCTACAAAAACCGGGACATTGTGGAATGAATAAAAATTACACAATTTTACTAGTAAATTTGCAAAATTCTAGATTCTGTGAGTGTAATTGTGCGTTGAAATTCTTATTAATTTATATTTATAAATATATTATAAATTATATTTATAAATATAAATATAATTATATAAATTTACATTTATAGTTATACATTATATTTATATTTATAAGTTTTATTCATTCCACAATATCTCGGTTTTTTATAGATTCCCTAAGAATTAAAAAAAAAAACGAATTATATGAAATCCCTGCGACATATATCTAACACGAAGCGAAACTCCGAAGTCTATTTTGGAAAGGAGAAAAACCAGGAGACCCAGGCCGAAAGTATCGCGCGCATGATCGCCGCACGTGAATGAATTATAAATCGGGGGAATGTGCGTTTTATCGGGCGATTAGGTAAACGGCGGTTGCGTAAACGAGCATAAATCCTTTAACGGCTTTTTTGCAAGAGTTTAACACACTTCATGGACTTCATTAAGGTCTCATTTTAAAGAGGAAGGCTCTATAAATACAAAAGAATTGCTGAAGCGGAGGGTAGCAACCCTTCAACTACACACCCTGTCAAAAAGTGTCAAAATCACAAAAAATGAAAAATGAGCATAAAGTTCAGGCAGAATTTTGTCAAAATTATATACGAAAAGGACCGCAAGAAAAATCACCTTTAACAATGAAGCACTATTTAAAATAGTCATTCTATTATTTTTTCAAAGGGTGGTTACCATTATGTTCTAGTAAAATTTTTCTCTTCGAGAATAATGTAAGCTAGATTTTTGACGTGTAACGTTTCTGAACTACTGCAGGAATGTTTTCTTCAATGTAGGAGTGGTTTATAAGCGTAGTAATGGTCGTGTAAGTTTCTTACAATATACCTGCATGTTCTGGAGTATTTTTTCACATTTTTTGGATTCTTTATGAAAGATATAATTGTTTAATAGGTGGAACGTGTGTCCCACTGGCCGTTAAAGGAATAAAAAAAAACCCCGCGTGTCATCGCCGGACTCGCGCGTTGATTCCGGCCGCGAGGAAAATAAACTGAAACGCGCGGATGATGAGTCATTGCAACAATGCGCTCCGACCGTTTCCCCTCCTTCTCTCCGCGCTCCGAATGTATGACCTTATCGCTCTAATCAGAAATTATAATGACGAATTCGAAGAGCGCCGCGAAGAGAACTTTGGCGTACGCGAAACGCGTTCCAGAAGCTCGATCCTAATTTTAATAAAGACCGCAATTAATTTCAATTCGCGTTCGATCGTTTTTTTCCTAGAATATTATTATTATCGCGTTACTCCTTACAATTAGCGTCCGTCGTTATCTTTGCGCTTGAACGTGTTAATAAGTCACAATTCCGAGAAATAAAATGCGAAAACTTTTTTTGTAGGTATATACACTCGCGTCACATTTTTCCTCGAAGTAAAACCGATCGCATAACAATTGAAATGTGTGAAGCGTATACAGCTGCGCGCGATAAAAGGTTCGCTTCTATCAGCCATGGGAAGAGGTTTGCGGCCGGCTTATCTTGTATTCTTGCGTTATTCTTGCCTTTCTTGCAACGGAAATTCCACGGGAATTTAACACGGGAAGACGATGGATATATTTTTATAAGTTTCACAAAAACCACATATGACAATGGTCCTACCTACAAACTCTACCGG